TAATTTTACCCATGGAATTCTTGGAGTATATGTAGTATCTACACTTACAACAATTTTATGAGTTGACTTCATTTTAAGTTCCAACTAGAGTCACCCAAAACAGATCTTCATTCAGTAGAATGAGGAGTTGAGAGAATATATTGAACATAGCAAACAATCAGATATTAAACTCTGGCTGTTGGTAACTTGTTAAACTAAGTCTTCAGAAAGGAAGACAGATTTCTGTATCTCCCTTTGTGTCCAAAAGGATAGGATGGAAATAAGATTTCCTTCAAAAGCTAGGAGCTATTTGTGGTTATCTTTTTTTTTTTTTTAACTGTAAAAGAAATGCATATCCATTTAAAAATAAATGCTAGTTTACTTAAAAGTAATGATAATCTCAACTTATTGCCAAGTGATGCAGAAAAAGTGTGTGTATACACATGCAACACAGATAAAAGCACATGTGGCCAAAAAATTAGCAGTTTGTGAATATAGATGATGTTTATAAGGTTGTTTATTTTCTTTCAACTTCTCTGTAAGTTTGAAATTTTCCCAAAAAAGAAGATGGAGATTAAAAAAAAAAAAACAACAAACAGGAATATTCCTTTATCTCCAATTCCCAATTTTAGTATATGTGCTGCCGAAGCGAAGCACCCTTTATCTCCAATTCCCAACCCTATCCATTCTCCAGAGGTAAACTGTTAGCAGTCAAGCTTGTATCTTTTCAAGCAAGTTTTTAAAAAATTCATTTAGAAAGATACAGAAGTATAATTTTTTGCATAAATGGAATCATAGTATACATAGGATTATACTGTATTTACTGATATTCTGCTTGCTTTTTAAATTTAACAGTATGTACTGGTTTTCTATTGCTGTGTAATAAATTACCACAAACTTAGTGACTTAAAACAACACAAATATAGAGTTTTGGAGGTCAGAAATCTCTCTGGGCTAAAATCAAGCAGGGCTGTGTTTCTTCAGGGCACTTAGGGAAAATCGATTTTATTGCTTTTTTCCAACTTTTTAGAGTCTCCTCCAGTCCTTGGCTCATGGTCCCCTCCTCAGTCTTCAAAGCATCTTGAAGCTTAGCATCTTCAGATATCTTTGACACTTCTCTCTTAAAAGGACCCTTGTGAAATCAGTGGGCCCACTTGAATAACCCCCATCTTAAGATCTTTAATTGTGTCTGCAAAGTCCCTTTTGCTTTGTAAGGTAACATATAGACAGATTTCAGGGATAAGACATGGACATCTCTGGAGGGCTCTTATTTTACCTACCACACTGTATATCATACCTAGCTTGCTTTATCAGTATATGTGAATCTAACATTCTTTTTAACAACTGTATAGAACTGATGTAAAATTTATGTAATCACTCTTATGAATATTTAGTTTTCTAATTTTTATGTGACAATAAATCCTACTAGGAACATTCTTGTACATATCTGTGTGAATATATCAGTGTACCTGCGGGATAAATTCCTAAAACTGCTGGGTCAAAGGGTAAATGTGTTACTGATTTGATAATATTGCCAAATTGCCTTCCATACTGTTCTACCAGTTCACCTTCCCATAGCCACACCTATTTATTTCCCCATACTCTTGTAAACACAAAATATTAATAATCTTTTTCATGTTTTTAATATAGTAAAAATTTTATTCCAAGTTGCATTTCCATCAAAAATGAGGTTGAGCATTATTGTATTACTTTCTTTTGGAATTTCAGATTAAACATTTTGGACATAAAGAACAACATATTTCATGATGGACTTCTGAGAATTTGGGTCCATGATGTTTGTATTTATTTAAAAGCATGTTTACACTATACTAAATGTTTTTTAAATAAAATAGCTATACATTAAGGTCAGTGGCTTCCCAAAAGAAAACATGTAATAATTACCAAGACTTCTTAATAAGTAAGTGTATATTGGGCTTTGTTATTGATTACAATAAAACACAATAATTTATTTCCTTGTTTCTAGGTTTTGTTTTGTTTTTTCTTGGTGTTGAAGTAATTCTGAATTTTTTTTTTTAACTCTGTAACTACCAGCTTCATAGTATCAGCTTTGAATAAGTCTCCATTACCTCTTTGTCACATTCTACTTTCCTCCACACAATATGTGAAATCTCTGTGATACATAGAAAAGATAGAGAAATGCAAAATGTAATTTGAGATTATCTATACTCAGCCTTCAGCTAACTGATCTTAAATGACTGATCTCTGAGAGAAAAGTTATTCCATCCATAACTCAAACCTTTTAAAAATCCTTTCAAACTGAAAACAATGGTTGCTTCTGAAGGTAGGGGCAGGAAGATGACTGGGTGGCCAGAGTGGTAGTGTCAAGGGTGGGAGGGAGTCTTCTTAGTGTATAGTCCTTCTTAGTATTTTTAAAGATTGTAAATATGGACCTAGGTCACCTATTTAAAAAATCATTTTTAAAGCTCTTTTATAATTCTCATGTGACTCAAGTGGCAGCTTGATTCATTCCATTGAGGTGTGGGAATATGAGCCTCATATCTCTCCACATTAAAGGTAGGATCTAAAAGTGATTCTTGGGTTGGGTCGTCGCTGCACTTGGTCGTGGGGTCGTTTTTGGCATCAAGGCCGCAGCACTCAGGATGAACATAATTCAGATTGTTCATGACCACTGGGTACATATACTTGTGCCCATGGGGTTTGTCCTTGGTTGTTACCTAGACAGAATGATGAAAAGCTGACTGCCTTCCGGAACAAAAGTTTGTTGTTTAAAAGGGAATTGAGACCCAATGAAGAAGTCACCTGGAAGTAAAGGCCCCCATGACTGAATTACAGAATGTTCATATTTTAAAAATTAGGAGAGAAATAACACATTCGTTATTTAGTTTGAAGTGTGATTCTTTTTATGCCGAAGCAGTCTTCCACATTTCAAGTAATAGGCACACTTAGCTTAAAAATAAATTATTGAGTACTTGGAAAAAAAAATAAAAGTGATTCTTAATCTCAAATTCCAACTTTAGTGTATACAGTTGACCCTCGAACAATGTGGGGGTTAGAGCTGCCATGTATAACTTTTGACTCCCCCAAAACTTTACTAATAGCCTGTTGACTGGAAGCCTCACTGATAACATGAACAGTTGATTAATACATATTTTGGATGTTATTTGTATCATATATTGTATTCTTACAATAAAGTAAGCTAAAGAAAATGTTAAAATCATACAGAAGGGAAAATACATTATAGTACTGTACTGTATTAAAATTTACCTGTATGTGGACCTATGTGGTTGAAAACTGTGTTCAAGGAGCAACTGTATATTACTGCTATTGCAGTATAAATTCCTGCATAAATATATTTTGAAAGAAAATTAAATGTAAATCACTTAGAACTTATAAATCAATATGATAATCCAAGTCCCATGCGTTTAATTCTTCCTCTCCAAAAGTCTCATTGAAGTAACAAAAAGAAATAGAAACACAGAGAAAATGCTGATAAACTTGGGTAATCAGAAGCCGAGGGTGTATACTAAAAACTTTATTTCTAAAGGACACAGTGTTGGAGAGATTTCTTTGAACTTTTCATTGATCGGTTCTCAATATTTAAAAAAAAAACCTGAAATGTTGATTAATGCTCGCCCATTCAATCCTCCTGCCAACCCCCATGAAAAACATAGCTCAGAGCTACAAGTATTGTGAGCAAGGGAGCCAGTTTTTTTGTTTTGTTTTGTTTTTTTGTTTTTTTTGCAAGGGAGACAGTTGATGGGAAGCAAACCTAGACCTTGGCTCACACTTCTCAGGCTTCTTTGTTGGACCTCTTCTACTCAATTCAGTAGGATGTTGGTTTTTCTCAGGGTTTCATGGCTTCAATTACCATCTATTTGATGATAGTTCCCAAGTGTAAATCTCCAGGCCAGTCACCACCACTCTACCCCCTATCCTCCTATGCACATTAAAATCTAAACACCTTTAAATCAGAAAGATGAAAAGACTTACAAATCTTTCCTCTTTTCATTCCTTTTTTCTTTTTCCTCTTATGTATAAGCAGGTTTGCTGATAATGCCAAATGGCATTAGTAAGTGTGGCTTATCCTTACATCTGTCATTCAGAGTTTAAAAGTATTTTTGCCAGGGGGCGCCTGGGTGGCTCAGTTGGTTGAGCATCGGACTCTTGATTTTGACTCAGGTTGTAATCTTAGGGTCATGAGATCCAGCCCTGCTTTGGCTCTGAGCTAAATATGGAGTCAGCTTGGGATTCTTTCTCTCCCTCTGCCCCCCTCCCGACAGGCACTCTCTCTTGCTCTCTAAAGTAAATAAAATTTTTTTAAAGATTTTGTTAATTTATTTGCTAGCAAGAGTGTACACACGTGTGCAAGAGAGAGAGTACAGAGGGAGAAACAGGCTCCCCAATGAGCAAGGAGCCCAATGCGGGGCTCGATCCCAGTACCCTGGGATCATGACCTGAACCGAAGGCAGACACTTAACCGACTGAGCCACCCCAGCGTCCCTAAAGTAAATAAATCTTAAAAATTTATTTCTGCGAGGGCTCCTGGGTGGCTCAGTCAGTTAGGCTGTGGACTTGAGATATTGTCTCAGGTCATGATCCCATGGGTCATGAGATAGAGCCCTGTGTTGAGCTCCACACAGCGGGAAGTCTGCTTGAGAGTTTCTCCCTCTGCCCCTCCCCCCATTTGCGCATGCTCTCAATTGCGCTCTCTCAAATCAAAAAATCTTAAAGTATTTTTGCGGTGCGCCTGGGTGGCTCAGTCGTTAAGCGTCTGCCTTCAGCTCGGGTCATGATCCCAGAGTCCTGGGATCGAGCCCCGCATTGGGCTCCCTGCTCAGCGGGAAGCCTGCTTCTCCCTCTCCCACTCCCTCTGCTGTGTTCCCTCTCTCGCTGTGTCTCTCTCTCTCTCTCTCTCTGTCAAATAAATAAAATCTTTTTTTAAAAAAAGTATTTTTATAGTATTTTTGCCTATCCTGATAGGCAAAATGCTCCCTTTGATCATGATAAAACCTTTTGGCTAACATTGCTTACTATTTTAGGTTGAATTCTCTTACCCGCCCCTGATTCCAGGAGATGGACATGACAGCCACACTTTACCTGAAGAATGGAAATATTTGCCCTTCCTTGCCTTACCAGATGGCGCACACAACTACCAAGAAGGTATGTAAACAATGGAACAATTAGGTGCCTTTTTTTTTTTTTTAATTTACCAAGACATCTTAGATTCTAAGTATTTTGGTAAATCAAAGGCCTTTGGCTTCTTGTGACTATTCATAAAATATTTTAAATGCTTGTTTGGAGATGACTAGTCATGCACTGGAAGATTTCCAGAGGAGTGCTGGGCTTATGTTGGTAATGTTAGTGAACGTTGGCCACTCTTTTGCCAGGAGCCCTGGCCAAAGTAAGTGGCCAGATTAGGACGTCTGCTGCTGGTAGCACTTCCTACATTCATACCTCAGACTCCTCTCGGAGGGAAACTAAAGGGCTTACCTGTACTGGCTACCAATTGACTAGGGCTCTAGCTGCAAACTTATTAGGTTAGTACTCCAATGCCTACCTGGGATTGCTTCTCCACCCCTGGAGCCACTGCTATTGCAGTGCTCTGCTTAAGTTTACATGTAAGGGGTGGCTGGCTGGCTTAGTTGGTAGAGCGTGAGACTCTTGATCTTGGGATTGTAAATTCAAGCCCCATATTGGGTGTAAAAAAAGTTTGCAGATAAGAGGAACATGTTAACACCCTCAGAGAAAAAGCAATGCTGTGAAATTAGTCTCCTATGACCCTATAAATGAGTGCTTTGGCTCAACAAAGGACGTTTTATTATGGCGTGGACTCTAGCAAAACACCAGATTAAACTTGGTTTAATTACCTCTTATACTTAATAATTTTCATATGAAATGAAGCAAATGTTACTGTGCAGTTTAGTGTAAAATTTAAATACATTATTTTAAACCTTGCAAATCTTTTCTTCCTAACTTTTTTATTATGAAAGCTTTTAAACATACAGAAAAGTTGAAAGAATAGTATAGTGAATATCCCACAGATTTTCTTTATATTTATGTGTGTGTACAGTTTTGCCTCTCCTATTTGAAAGTCTAACACCATGTTGTAGAGATTATGACAACTAAATGTTGTAGACATTTAGTTTACCTCTAAATACTTCAGCATGCACTCCTAAGAGTAAGATCATTCCTCAGGATAACTTCCAGTACCATTATGACTGCTAAGAGATTTAACAGTAATTTGAATATATCTAATATCTAATCTATGTTCAAATTTCTCCAGTTATTCCAAGAATTTCTTGGATCTATCCAAGATTCATGTGTTACCTTTTGTTTGTATGATTCTATACCTCTTTTAATCTGAAATAAAATATTTTCCTTTTAATTTTTTTAATTTAAATTCAATTAATTAACATATAATGTATTATTCGTTTCAGAGGTAGAGGTCAGTGATTCATCAGTCTTACACCCAGTGTTCATTATATCACGTGCCCTCCTTAATGTCCATCACCCAGTTACCCCATCCCCTCACCCGGCCCCCCTCCAGCAACCCTCAGTTTGTTTCCTATGATTAAGAGTCTTTTATGGTTGGTTAAGTATTTTCTGAGATAAGTGATTGTAGTTTCAATATTAACCTGTTATAATTCAGCCCCTTGGGCTTTTTGAGAATGTGCATGAATGAATGTACGTGGTAAGGCAGTAAGATGGATTCTAAGAAACCAGTGGTTGTGATGCTAGAAGTAGGTATGACATGGGTTCCTTGTTACATCATCATTTTGGTTGTAATTAACTGTATTATACTTCAGTCTACATTATTTATTAATAAGGGTAATTCACTTTGGTATTTACATTTTTCTGTGTGTCTCTTAGATACTGTGTTTTTTCACTTGCCACCCAGAAATGGAAACGGAGCCACAGTGTATGGTATCTCCTGTTATCGACAGATTGAAGCCAAGGTATGGTAGTTACAATGAACAACAACAGAAAACACTGGTATTATTTTAGATTTTTATAAACAATTTGAAGTTGTTTTCCCAATAGTACCAGTTTATTCACATGAATGTTTTTGTAAGTTGACATAGGTAACTATAATTACCATAAAATATTTTGTCCATTGTTTTTATATAGTGATACCTAAATTATCCATTTGTCTTCCAATACTGTATTTAAACTTTATAGTGTCCTTGAATTTTCTTTTTCTAGTGTTTGGTATATAATTTAGAAAAATGAAGTGATAATGTATGTTGTTCTTTAAGCAGCTGTTTAGAATTAGGGGAAAATACTTGAGTACTTTTGAAATACTTGCATGTTATCTTAATTATCTACAACTAAGATTTTGTTAATTCTTAAATTACCTGCCAGCTTAATTCCTGAATTACTATAATAACTCTAATTAATAAATTCACATAAGCCAAAATGGGTAGCTTCCCCTTTCATATGGCTTGCTTCTGAGCAGCACTGGTTTTTTGTGGTGAAGACGCTGAGTAAAAATCTCTTGCCTATCATGACATCATTAATACTCTAAAGTAGTGAGTGTTTCTCAACTTCAGCTATACATTGGAGTCACCTGGAGAGCTTTAAATAGTAGAAAGACTGGGTCCCAACCCCAGAGATTCTGATTTAATGTTATGGTTCTCAGGAGTTTTAAAAGCTCCTCAGGTGATTCCAGTATGTAGCCAAGATTGCAAACCACTGCTCTAAAACAGTGATTTTTAACCAGAATTACTTGGAGACTTTCTTTTTTTTTTAAATACATTTCCTGACCTTTCCTTTTGCGGTGACTAAATTAGAATCTCTGGGAGTAGGGCCTAGGCAATTATAAGTTTTAAAAGCTTCCTCAGGTGAATAATTAAGTTAATCTTTTAAAATTTTCATTAGCTTTTTTTAATGACCTTTCAAACATGCAGATAAATTAAAAGAATTGTATGATGAACACCTGTATGCCCACCGTCTAGATTCAACAAATGTCAGCTTTGTGTGTGTGTCTGTATTTTTCCCTGAACCATTTCAAAATAAACTGCAGGTGCAAATTCCACCATACCCAAAGTAGTTAACTACTTGAAACAGCCCTTCACACACAGGGCCTAATATAGGACACACCTAGTAAATATTTACAGAATGAATAACTGAATTTAAAGATAAAGATAAACCTGAGAGTAAGAGTTAGCCTGATAGCTTTGTACATTTGATTGCTTCATATACCCTTCATGTACATTTCTATGAGATGAACTGAGTTGCCCCCAACCCTTTCTCGGAAATCTGTACCTTTTAGTCTCATCCCCTCTAGGTTGTGTAAACACTAGTAAAATTCTCCAAAGCTGTCAACATTAACAACAGTTGTCGTGCTCTGCATAGCCTTTAAATGGCATTTCATACTGCCTGTCTTCCTCACCCCTTGGGTCTGACCCACTCCACAATATGTTGAGGTTGCCATTTTCTCCAAATTTTTCTATCCTCACCTGATAACCAGAGGGATGATAAGATAGGTATCCAAAGGACCTATAACGTAGGAAAAAGATTGATTCCCTTTGAATGAAAGTGAGACCTGATAGATGAATCCAATCAAGGCAGAGAGGTAGAAAACGGATTGAAGGAAGGCTCTATTCTTAGTTTAATGACTGGTCATCAGTCATCAGTCAGTTGAAGACACTGAGGCCCCTTGGTCCTCAGGACAGGTCCAAAGAGATGTCAGGCAGTACATACAGAGGGGAAGAAAAGTTCTAACTTTCCTCACAGATTATCTGAGATTGATCAAATGAACGCTTGTTCCTTACTAGCAGAGAACTTATTGACATCTCATGTGGTCATCCTCAGAATCATCAAGGCATGAGTTACGGCTCAGGGCTGGTCCACAATACTATTTTGCCAGGATAAACTCCAGGCAGCATTGAACCACCTTAACAAAACTGTTGCCAGTTCTTCTGTCTTGGGAGTTTTAAACTAGCCCCTTCTCACCAGGAACAGTAGTCTCTGAAAGGATGCCCATTTTCAAACCAGAATCAAGGACATTTGATTTGCATTATGGGTGTGGCAACTTACACATAAAGTATTCTCCATCATACAGTAAATTCCTTGAGAGTAGGAACTATCTCTCATGGTTACATTCCTAGTGCCACCAGATTCTGGCACAGTTTCCTGGCTGACTCATTCAATAAATATTTTCTGAGATTCTCAATAAATTTGGAGTTTAAATGTAAGAAATTTTTTCTACCTGACTGCTATTTTTATATTGAAAGATAATGATTTTTAAATATTTCTATGAAATATTTCTAATGATGACTGTTTACATAGGCATTGAAAGTACGGCAAGCAGATATCACCAGAGAGACCGTTCAGAAAAGTGTCTGTGTTCTAAGCAAGTTGGTAAGAGACCAAATAACTCATTAATGTGTTTGTTAAATATTCGTGTCAGATTTTTACTTGAGAATAAGGCATTATTAGAATAAGGAGAGATTTATGGAAACAGTAATAGATTAAAATTCATCAGGGGCTCTTATTCTTGTGCATCTCCTCTTTCTCTTTGCCTTTCAGCAGTTTTACTCTCATTTGCACCTCTACCCACAACTAGATAAGACGAAGGAAATGTCCTAACTAGGTATTTGGAAAAGAGGTTGACACTTGACCAAAATGAGGTAGCTAATATATTTCATTTATCCATTTTTATTTTGTTTTTAAGACTTTGGATAAATAATATATTACTAAAACTCAAAATATAATCGCTCAGATTTTATTGATGATATAAAAGTACATGACTTTTGCTATGAAAAATTGTAACCTTAACTTGCTCTTTAAAAACTTAAAATTTGGGGACACCTGGGGTGGCTCAGTCAGTTAAGCGTCTGACTCTTGATTTCAGCTCAGGTCATGATCTCAAGAGTTGTAAGGTTGAGCTCAGGGTCGGGCTCTGTGCTCAGCAGGAGGTCAGCTTGGGATTCTCTCGCTCCCTCTCCCCCTCCTCGTGTGGGCACGCTCTTGCTCTCTCTAAAAAATAGATAAAATCTTGGGGTATCTGGGTGGCTCAGATGGTTAAGCGTCTGCCTTTGGCTCATCCTGGGATCAAGCCCCACATCGGGCTCCTGGCTCAGCAGGAGCCTGCTTCTCCCTCTCCCTCTGCCTCTCTCCCTACTCATGCTCTCTATCTCTGTGTCTCAAATGAATAAATAAAATCTTTTAAAAAAAAAGATAAAATCTTTTAAAAGTTTTTGAGGAACAGAAATGACAATGAATTATACAATAACAATACTTTAAAATTGTTTCATCTGTGTACAATTTGATCAGATGCAAGTGTATAATTTTAACTTTATTTTTTGAAGAAAATATAGAACATTTATTTTTCATAACTCTTCATTAAATCATTTGTAATTTTCCTTTTTTTTATTAATGGGAGAATAACACCTTTACCAGTAACACCAAATGACTAATTCTACATGTAAATATAATCTCCCAGATCTCCTTTGTGGGGAAAAATCCAGATCTCTATCATATTAATTGTCTGATAGCGGTATGATTACTGAATACAAACGTTTCTGCATTTAACCTAAATCAAAATGGAGAATATTTCATTTGCCTAGTCACCGCATGTATGTAGGTTTTGTTTATTTCTTCTGCATTGTCCAGTTTCTTTTTTATTTTTAGTTTTTAAGATCTTATCCATTTGAGAGATAGTGAGCACGAGGGGTGGGGTGCAGAAGGAAAGGGGAAGAGAGAAACAGACTCCCCACTAAGCAGGGAACCTGACACAGGGCTCAATCCCAGGACCCTAAGACCATGACCCGAGCTGAAGGCAGATGCTTAACAGACTGAGCCACCTAGGTGCCCCTTCCTTGTCCAGTTTCTTATATCCACAGACAATTTAAATGTAATTTGCTTAATATATGTTGAATTTTGCAAAATAGGACTTATTTGGCTTTTACTGCTAAGCATAAAAAAATCCTGAATAGGGGCACCTGAGTGGCTCAGTTGGTTAAGTGGCTGCCTTCAGTTCAGGTCGTGATCCCAGAGTCTCGGGATCGAGCCCCATGTCAGGCTCCCTGCTCAGCAGAGAACCTGCTTCTCCCACTGCTCCTCTACCCGCTCGCTCTCTCGCTTGCTCTCTTGCTCGTGTTCTTGCACTCTCTCAATAAATAAAATCTTAAAAAAGAATTCTGGATGATAATTTATACTGTGGGCCTTAATAATATATTGAGGGCGCCTGGGTGGCTCAGTCATTAAGCGTCTGCCTTCGGCTCAGGTCATGATCCCAGGGTCCTGGGATCGAGCCCCGCATCGGGCTCCCTGCTCGACGGGAGGCCTGCTTCTCCCTCTCCCACTCCCCCTGCTTGTGTTCCCTCTCTCACTGTCTCTCTCTGTCAAATAAATAAAAAATTTAAAAAAAAAAAAAAAAAAGACTTTGAGGATCAGTTATTGCTTCCAAGATCATAATTTTAAATAGAGGGCAAGAATAGACTCCTTGAAAAAAACAAGGTTGTAAAAGACCCCATTATCAGAACATTGGTAGATTACACTTAGATAGTTTTTAGAAGGGTAGCCTGAAAAAGACACCAGTGAATACTTTTTTATACTGGGCCAGATGATCAGAGTATAGGAGTATCAGATACTAAGGCAAGTGTGACATGTTAAAAGACTTCCTGAGTAATCTTTCTTCAAAGAACAATTATAATAATAACAAATGCCATTCATCAGGTCCCTATATGTCAGGTGTTAATTCTATACCAGACACTTTTTAGATATAATTGTCATTTGAATCCTCATATAACAGTGAGATCTAAGTATTTATTGCTCTCATTTTACAAATAAAGATGTATGAGAGAAAAAATAACTCTCATAAACCTATTAAGTGATAAAATTGGGGGTGAAAATCCAGTTTTATCTGTCTTTAAACAGCATAGGGGATAGGGAGAGCTAGCTCACGCAAAAGAGTTTGGTGGTTCATAGTGCATTGTAGTCTTTATATATAGAGTAAATGAAAATATATATTTAAAGTATATAAAATATTATTTTATACTTAGAACTTTAAGATGGTAATAATGATATATTAACAGGGATATTGGTGGGGGGAGCTCTTCCGGTATTACTTGTTTTAATTACTTAAGAGTATATATACAGCATGGTCTCTGCATTCTAAGGACACAGAAATCAGGAAACATCTAGAAAAGAACACTGAAAATAAAGGATGGAAATAGTAGAAAAGGGTCTTAAATAAAAATAAGAATTAAGGAATAATTTTGTTGAAGTATACGAAAGAACATTTTGATAGAGGACACAGACTAGTTGTTCCAAGCCTCCATAGAGGACAAAAAAGGGAAATGAACTTAAATTTAATTATGAATGTTCAACTAGATATAAGAACTGGCTGTTATAAGGATGATTAAGTGTCACCACAAACCAGCAGAACAGTGCAGAAATTAGAATGTTTTAAATTTTATAATAGCTAACGTTTAGGTGCTTTCCATGTGCCAGGCACTCGAAGTGCTTTTATCTGTGTTACTTAGTTCTGGAAATGCCATAAGATGTGCTGTTTTTTCATATGCCAGTGTTCACATCAGCAAGCAAATGTGGAGAGATTCAGTGCTTGAGGTTATGTGGCCGAGTGATAGAGCGGATCCGGGGGGTCTGTGCCCACCTCTTAACCACTGTACTCCAAGTGTGTCAGGCTCTTTTCAACCGCAGCCATAGAGCTGGAACAGGTGATAAAACAGCTTTTAGCTGTGGATAAGATACTAAAGTTGAAGTTAGTTTTTCTCCCTGTTCTTTCAGTTACAAAGTTGTAAGATGTTTGTTTTTTTAGTATTATCCAACTAATAGTATTTTTTTTTCTTTAAGCCTCTCTATGGCTTACTTCAAGCAAAACTTCAGCTCATTACACATGCATATTTTGAAGAGAAGGATTTTTCCCAAATTTCCATTCTAAAGGTAACTATATCCCTCTATAGATATATTTGGCTGAAAACAGATTCATGAATCAGTTAATCTTGTCAGTAATATTTTGGAATATAATCTTGTTAGCTTAAGAAAGACATTCTTCTTTGACAGTAACATTGACCCTACTATGATCCAGCAATTGCACTACTACTTATTATGCAAAGGATACATAAATACAGATTTGAAGGGGTACGTACACCCCAGTGTTTATAGCAGCATTATCAACAACAGCCAAACTGTGGAAAGAGCCCAAGTGTCATCAACTAATGAATGGGTAAAGAAGATGTGGTATGAAATCTTGCCATTTGCAACAACATGCATGGAGCTAGAATGTATTATGCTAAGCAAAAGAAGTCAGAGAAAAACAAATACCATATGATTTCACTCATGTGGAATTTAAGAAGCAAAACAAATGAACATATGGAAAGGGAGGGAGGAAAAAAGGGAGAGAGGGAAACAAACCATAAGAGACTTTTAAGGATAGAAAACAATCTGCTGAGGGTTGATGGAGGGAAGTGGGTGGGGGATGTGCTAGATGGGCGCTGGGTATATAGGAGGGCACTTGTGATGAGCGCTGGGTGTTGCATGTAAGTGATGAATCATTGAATTCTCCTGAAACCAATATTCCACTGTATGTTAACTAACTAGAATTTAAATAAAAATTTAAAAAAACCCACAAAGATTTGCAAATTGAAAAAAAGAAAAGGAAATAACATTGAAAGGCAAAGGATTTGTCCAGAATGTACAGTTGATATTTATTAAATTTAACCAAACTTGGGTGGCGCCTGGGTGGCTCAGTTGTTAAGCGTCTGCCTTTGGCTCAGGTCACCATCTTGGGGTCCTGGGATCGAGCCCCACATTGGGCTCCCTGTTCTGCAGGAAGCCTGCTTCTCCCTCTCCCACTCTCCCTGCTTGTGTTCCCTCTCTCACTGTGTCTCTCTCTTGTCAAATAAATAAACAAAATCTAAAAAAAAAAATAATAAATTTAACCAAACTGCCTTTTATTAGGAAATAATAACTACAAAGGACTATAATTAACATAAGTGTTTCTATTATTGGGTGGTAGCTCTTTTGCTATAGCATTGCTTCTCTAAATTTGCTTGTCTTATTAATATACTGCACAATATGTTTATCAGTCTTCTGGTTCCAATCAAAAAACAAAACAAGGGCGCCTGGGTGGCTCAGATGGTTAAGCGTCTGCCTTCGGCTCAGGTCATGATCCCAGGGTCCTGGGATCGAGTCCCACATCGGGCTCCCTGCTTGGCGGGGAGCCTGCTTCTCCCTCTGCTTCTCTCTCTCTCTCTCTGTCTCTCATGAATAAATAAAATCTTAAAAAAAAAACCAGAACAGACTACATGACTGTTTTACTAAAGGTGGATAGCATGTTTTTCTTTGGGCTGCCATGAGCGTATGGAACACGGATCTCTCCTGGATTTTAGTGAGTATAGGACAATTAGGTGTTTAGCAAGAAAGTAGAGGAAACTTAGCCTAGAATCCATACCACCATGTGAGTGAACTAAGCTTTAAAATGAAGAGGAAGAGAAGGAGGGAGTGCTGGAAACTGGTAAGGTTTCAGAGAGACCTTCATTGTTACTGGCGAAACAAACTTGCCTCAGTTAAAGAACCAATTTTTTCCTGGTCATCATACTTCTAATTTAGTGTCTGAAATGATTGTAAAATGTTCTAAATTGAATTTATATTTTATAGGAGCTTTATGAGCATATGAATAGTTCCTTGGGAGGAACTTCATTAGAAGGATCCCAAGTATATCTTGGTAAGTAGCTTTTCTACAAATCAGAAGAAATGCCCTCATTTCTTCCCATTTGGTAAACCGAGTTGCATGTAAAACTTCATAAAGTTAAATTTCTGTATGGGATCTAAATTTAAATTCTTCAGTGTTTGATGTTCTGTTCCCTTACATATCTTCTAAAGCCAGTATTTCTATTAAGAAAGGTTATAACATAATTGTAGCAATATTTAGAACTATTCTATAAAGTAAATTTCTGCTTTTCAGAATAATAACAGTTTTTTCTTTTTTTATGATAGGGCTGGCCAGGTCAATTCCCTGTTAAAACAGAGAGGAAGAGCAAGAGAGAGAGATTTGCTCAGCTCTTTTCTATCCTAAAGTTTTTCAAGTTGGGGGTTTTGTTTGATTTATACTGTTTTGATAATCCAGAATATTCATTGGTGTCCAAGGTACGCAATAGGCACTCAGTAAATATCCTTTTCATGATGAGAAACTAATAAAGTAGCCATTAGCCTCATGTGGCTATTTACATTTAGATTAGAATTAATAAAAGTTAAATGAAGTTAAGTCATTTTGTCAATACATTTGCTACATTTCAAATGTTCATTGGTCACTTGTGGCTACTGTATTGGACAAAGCAGATTTAGAACATTTCCATTATTGTAGGAAGTTCTGTTGGACTATGCTATCTCTGACCGTGTTATTACAGTTATTTGATAAATTCCAAGTATATGTGTACATAATCAAGTATTATGTAAATATTTTAATATTTGCATATTCTTACTATTCCTATTTTTACCTGCCTTTCCTTTGATGGGAAGAAACTTTCTTTGACAAAACCCATAGGTTGTCATCACAGATTAGCTTTTTTGTTAATGTTGTAGGTCTATCTCCTCGAGATCTTGTGCTTCATTTTCGACACAAGGTATGATACCTTATTTAATTTATAACGTACTAAAATTGTGTTCATTTAACTGAGCAAATTCTTTATGCTACAAGGTCCAATACAGATTGTGGCATACCATATTTTAGTTCTTCTAAGACTGTTCTCATAATGATAAAAGTTGAAAATGTTGGTAGAGCTTATAGAAGTTTTTAAAAGTATAGGAATACTGTCTATTTCTGTGCAGAAGAGGATACTTTTTCTGTTGTCTTTGTAATTTCAGATGTCATGAAATTAGAGTGGAAAGGAACATGTTTTAATCTTGCAGAATAGTTTATATGTTGCTCTGAGAGTGAAACATTTTCTAATGAAATATCTATACTTATGTCTTCTGATCTTTATTGTTAAACATGTTGATTGGGACATACACACATTAATCATTCATGTGTACACATTTATTGAGTATCAGCTGTGTGAATGCCCTGGACATCCAGAAACAAATGAATAGTCCCTGCCCTTGAAGGAGCTTGCAGATATTTCAAGCAAAAATGATATAACTCCTTCCAAAAAGCATAATTTGTTAGAGATTTAAGTGGTTCTTAATTAATTTTTAATTAATGGATTTTAATTAATTTTAATTTTTTAATGGATTTTAGTGGTTCTTAATTTTTAATTTTTCAGTATAAGTTCATAATTTTCAATGTAGTTTTAAGCACTATAGTTAATATTATTGATTAAATGATATATGGTTATGTTGGAGGAAGGGAAAAGGCAAATGAATAATAGGCTTGAGTTTATTTTAATACAGTATTTTTTCTTTAGGTCTTAATCCTGTTTAAACTAATTCTTCTTGAAAAAAAGGTGAGATTTGAAGGAATGGAATATTTAACATGTGTTGACATTTTTTAAAAATTTTTCATTATGTTAATCACCATACATTATATATGTTAAGAGGGAAAAAAAGAAGATAGCAGGAAGGGAAGAATGAAGGGGAGTAAGTCAGAGGGGGAGACAAACCATGAGAGACGATGGACTCTGAGAAACAAACTGAGGGTTCTAGAGGGGAGGGGGCGGGGAGATGGGTTAGCCTGGTGATGGGTATTAAAGAGGGCACATTCTGCGTGGAGCACTGGGTGTCATGCACAAACAATGAATCATGGAACACTACGTCACAAACTAATGTGTTGACATTTCTTAAATACTATATAAAATTAAAACTAATGGTAAAGTATAAATGAAGATTTTTTTTGCCTGTCATATTTTGGTAGACTGAAGCACATATTCATGTTCACTACCACAGAAGTATAAATTTGTGTGGTCTTTTCTAGGGGCAATTTGACAGTAACCAATTTAAACAGACTTAAATAATAATGAAATGTATTGGGTTACTGCAGACTTCATGGCTGATTGAATGGTTCTATGGTATAATTAAGTATTCAGATTTTTTTCCATCTCTTTGCTCCACAGTCTGCAGTGCTAGCTTTATCCTGTGCCTGGTTTCCCTTGTAGTGTAGGTTAACTGCCAACAATAATTGGTCTGTATGCTCTCTCAGTTATAACTGGTGGTAGAGGGGTGTCTGGGTGGCTCAGTCGGTTGAGTGTTAGACTCTTGGTTTTGGCTCAGGTCATGATCTCAGGGTTGTGAGATCCAGCCCTGGGTTAGGCTCCATGCAGAGTGGGGAGTCGACTTGAGAGCCTCTCCCACTGCCCCTCCCCTCACTGGCACATGCTCACTCGCTCTCTAAAATAAATAAATAAATTGGGGTGCCTGGGTGGCTCAGTCAGTTAAACAGCCAACTCTTGATTTTGGTTCAGGTCGTAATCGCAAGGTCGTGGGATCTAATCCCCCCGTTGGACTCTGTGCTCAGCACAGAGAGTCTGCTTGTCCCTCTCCCTCACCCTCTCTCTCTGTACCTCCCCCTGATTGCTAGCGCACGCTCTCTCTCTCTGAAATAAATTAATAAAATCTTCAATCATTAAAATCTTAAAAATAATTGGTGGTGTTGGTGGTAAAAACTATTCCCAAACCATTTATAAGAATCTTCCTTTGCAGTTTGTTTAAACCCATGAGGCCGTGTGCCTGGAGTGAACAAATAATTGTTGCCAAAGAAGTACATAAACTAGTTGGTTTAAACTTGGGTTCCAGACCATTCTCTAGTACAAAAAGATTGGATTGCCACGATTTTAGACCACGGGTGTACAAACTAGGCCCCAGGGCCAAATCTGGCCCACCATCTATTTTTATAAAGTTTTATTGAAACACAGTTATACCCATTCGTTTACTTACTGCTTATGGCTGCTTTTGCACTATAGGGGCAGAGTTGAGTAGTTGTGACAGAGACCATATATATCGCCTGCAAAGGAAGGATTCTTAGTATTATAGTTTGCTGACCTCTGGTTTAGACTAATCAGGAGCTGCCCTTGGATCTGGGGCCAGTTTTATATACCATATTACTGTGCTAAGTGGAGTAGGGGTGGAATAGATGTTCTAAAGCCAGCCATTTTTAATGTCCAGTATGGTTTGTTACCTTAAAAATATTTATTCCTGGGGCGCCTGGGTAGCTCAGTCGTTAAGCGTCTGCCTTGGGCTCAGGTCATGATCCCAGGGTCCTGGGATCAAGCCCCACATCAGGCTCCGTGCTCTGTGGGAAGCCTGCTTCTCCCTCTCCCTCTGCTTGTGTTCCCTCTCTCCCTGTGTCTCTCTCTGTCAAATAAATAAATAAAATCTTTAAAAAAATTTATTCCTTTGGCCCAGTAGTTCTCTTAGAGCTTTATTTTCCAGAATTAATGTGAGTTGGATGCAAAGTCCACCTAAGACATTCTGTCACAGAATAATTTATAATAATGAATTATCAGTGGATAAGTACTGGTTCATCTTGTATATTGTATATAATTCCAAATGACTAAAGAGATTCTGAGATTTTTTTTTATTGTTGTAAAGATGTTTCATTGAATGTTAAGTGAAAGTTTATCAAAGTACATATCAAGCCCATGATCCTAATTTTATAAATAAATATTCATTAAAAAGAGACTGGAAGGAAAGATATCAACAGTTTTTGTTTTGTTTTTAAAGATTTTATTTATTTGACAGAGAGATAGAGAGCACAAGTAGGCAGAGCGGCAGGCAGAGGGAGAGGGAGAAGCAGACTCTCCACTGAGCAGGGAGCCCGATGCGGGACTTGATCCCAGGACCCTGGGATCATGACCTGAGCTGAAGGCAGACGCTTAACAACTGAGCCACCCAGGTGCCCCAGATATCATCAGTTTGAGAATGTAGGTTATATTTTTATTTATTAAAGATTTTTTTACTTAGAGCGTGAGCAGGGGGAAGGGCAGGAGAAGGGGAGAGAAAGAATCTCAAGCCAACTCCGCACTGAGCTCAGAGGCCGACACAGGGCTCGGTCTCAAGACCCCGAGATCATTTTCTGAGCCAAAACAAGAGTCAGACACTTAACTGACTGAGCCACCCAAGTGACCCTAGGTTATATTTTTAAGAAGGAAATACTTTTCTAGTTTTCTGTAATGAATATGTATTTCTTCTTCAAAGAGAAACATGTAATTTTTAAAATGAATGAATCTAACATACCATATGTGCAATGTTATAACTTTTTAAAAAGGTTTTAACTGTAAAATACACAAGACACATAATTTACCATCTTAACCAGTTTTTAGTGTGTAGTTGAGTGGCATTAAGTACATTCACATTGTTGTGCTATCGTCACCATCCATTCACAGACTCTTCATTGTGCAAAACTAAAACTGTACCTATTAATACAGTAACTCCCCATTTTCCCCTCCCCACTGACAGCAACCCTTCTACTTACTGTGTTTATGAATTTGGCTACTCTGAGTTCCTTATACAAGTGAAATCATGCTGTATTTGTCTTTTTGTGACTGGCTTGTTTTACTAAGCATAGTGTCCTCAAAACTGATCCATGTATAACGTGTCAGAATTTCCTTCCTTTTTAAAAAGGGCTAAGTAACATCCATTGTATGTACGTACCATATTTTTTTTATCCCTTTGTCCTTTGATGGACACTTGGGTTGCTTCCACCTTTGGCTTTCATGAATAATGCTACTATGAATGTTGGTATGCATACATTTCTTCAAGACCCTGCCTCCAACTCTTTTGGGTGTATACCCAGAAGTGGTATTGCTGGACCGGATGGTAATTCTATTTTTAATTTTTTTTTTTTTAGTAACCACCATACTGTTTTCCATAGTGGCTGCACCATTTTACCTTCCTGTCAACAGTGTGCGAGGATTCCAGTGTCTCTACATCCTTACCAACATTTGTTGTTTTTTAGTTTTTTGATAGTAGCCATCCTAATAGGTGTGAGGTGGTATCTCCTGGTTTTGATTTGCATTTCCCTAATGGTTAGTAATGTTGAGCACCTTTTCATGTGCTTGTTGGTCATTTGTATGTCTTCCTTGAAGAAATGTCTGTTAAAGTCCTTTGCCCATTTTAATCAGATTTTTGGGGGTGTTTTTTTTTACTTGTTGAGTTGTAGGTTTCAAACTTTGTTATTGCAGTTCATAATGAAAAGTATTTTACATTGCAACCCAGGGCACACATAAATATATGTATCTGAAACAAAAGTCTCCCAAAATAGTACTTAGCCTAGCTACATGTAGTGGCATTTATGATCATATAACTTTATCTAATGTGGCAGATCACAGGTATACTCTTTTGATATTGATTTGATGAAATAAGAATGTCCTTTAATGCAACACTTGGTTTCTCTGTACTTGGAAAGCACTCCTTAAGTAAGATCATCTATAAGGAAAGCATAGACAATTGTGGGTGCTATATATTCTGCAAATAGCACTTCAGTGTCACTAAATGATTTAATTGTTTAAAAAAAAAACTCACCTAAACAAATCTTTGCTTGTTTTTTCTTGTCTTTTTTTTTTTTTTAAAGGATTTTATTTTATTTATTTGACAGAGAGACAGAGAGGAAACACAAGCAGGGGGAGTGGGAGAGGGAGAAGCAGGCTTCCCACAGAGCAGAGAGCCCAATGCGGGGCTCGATCCCAGGACCCTGGGACCATGACCTGAGCCGAAGGCAGATGCTTAACGACTGAGCCACCCAAGCACCCCTTTGCTTGTTTTTTTCAACTAATTTAATGATTACCAAGTGTTGCTTTTAAACATCTAATCCTGTTTCTGATTTTTTTCCTCAAGTTTTATTCTGAAAAAATGTCAAACCTACAGAAAAGTTGATAGAATACTATAATGAACTTTTAAACACTTGATCTGTATTGACGATTAACATTTTGCCACTTTTGCATTATGTTGCTTTATATATGTTCATTTCCCCCCTCCGAATCCTAATAATTTTAAAATCATGGTATTTTACCCCTAAACTTTAGGATATATTTTTTTCCTTTCTTTTAAAGATTTTATTTATTTATTTGAGAGAGAGAGAGACTAGAACAAGTGAGGAGAAGCAGGCTCCCCGGAGAGGCAGGCTCTGCGCTGAGCAGGGAGTCTGACATGGGGTTCCAATCCCAGGACCCTGGGATCAAGACCTGAGCCAAAGGCAGATACTTAACCAACTGAGCCACCCAGGTGCCCCAGGATGTATTTCTTAAGAATAAGAGTATATTCCCATGTAACCAAAATACCATTTCACATTCAAGAAATGCAGTCCATTTTCACGTTTCCTCGGGTGTTATAATAATGTCCTATAAACTGGTTGTTTCGTTCACTCTGGGGACCAAGGATCATGTATTGCCTTATAGTTCTCTTTAATACTTTAATCTCAAACTGCTCTACCACCTTGCTGTTTTTTTGGTTTCTTTTTGTTTTTCATGGCATTGGCTTTTTTTTTTTTTTTTAAAGAATACAAATAAATGATTAGATTTGTCCGATTATTTTCTTTTGGCTAGTTTCAGATTAAACTTTTTTGGCAAGAGTACTATACAGGTGTGTCCTTCTCAGAGTTATCATACCAGGAGGTCCATAACTGTCTGTAGTATTTTTGGTGATGTGAAACTTGATCATTTGATTAAAGTGGTAGTCCCCAGATTTCTTCATAATGAGGTACTTGTGTTTCTCTTCGCAACTAATAGCTAATCTATGGGATGATATATTTGAAGCTATGTGAATATCCTGTTGTCCAGCAACCTTTCATAGTAGTTTTAGCTTCCATTGGTAATTTTTAACTGAATCATGGTAGATGCTTAGTGATTTCTTTGATTCTTTCATTAATGCTATATTAGCTGTTATTCTTCTGTAAAGAAGTGGTTTTCCTTCTCTATATCTCCCCCGCTTTTTTTATTTTGTAGACTCATGGATTTTCTAATTTAATTTTGATTTAATCCATTTCAGGTTCTCTTTTATATTTCTCCAGTGAATAAATTGGTGGGTGCCCTGATGACTGTGTTATCCCTTTTTCCAGGTAAGAGGTTAACAGTATGTACTCATTCTTTCATTTAACTTGTACTGGAACTTTGAATGATAAAAAATTTTAAGGATAAACTTGCTACAGATAACATTTCTATTTTAACATGGTTTTCTTTTGGCTTTGGGTTTCTCTGTTTTGTATGATATTTTTCTTTTTTTTAATTAAAACGTGTACAAGCATAACTTACTAAAATTTTTATAGGAGAGTTCTAGTTAGAATGGAATATGAAACTTTTATCTTTTCCCACCTTATTGTAAGCCAAGCTGTTCTCCAATATTGTATGTTGTAGGCATGATTGAACATGGTCTCAGTGACTGTTCTCAGTACAGACCCCGAAAGAGTATGTCTGAAGATGCTGGGCTTCACGAAAGCAATCCCCCTGCAGATGATTTTATTTCTGTGTCTGCTCCCGACATTTCAAATACCAACTCAGGAACTGTTAAGAAAATCATGACAGGAAACCATGGAGGAGATGCTGGCATCAACACTGAAGAACCATTGCTCCAAGTAGATGATGACAGCAGCAAAGGACAGGAACCTAATGAAACCAGTCAATATTTGAAACCTCCTTCTCGCCCATCTCCAGAGTCTTCAGAAAGTGACTGGGAGACCTTGGATCCTAGCGTCTTAGAGGACCCCACCTTGAAAGAAAGGGAACAGGTGGGGTCAGAACAGACAAACTCTTTTCCAAAGGAGTCTGTGCCCTCAGACAGTCCTCCGATTACTGTACAACCTCAAGCTAATACGGGCCAGGTAGTCCTGATACCAGGGCTAATTTCCGGTTTGGAAGAAGACCAATATGGCATGCCCCTGGCCATCTTCACAAAGGTAAAGTTTAGTGTTTGCTATTTTTTTTTCAAAGATTTCTTTGTTAGTGCACATACAGATGGGGAGAGGGGCAGAGAGAGAGAATCTCGAGCAGACTCTCCACCAAGCCAGGACCCCAGTGTGGGGCTCGATCTCACAACCCTGAGATCATGACCTGAGCCAAAATCAAGAATTGGACGCTTAACCAACTGAGCACCCAGATGCCCCTAGTGTTCCTTATTGAGACCCTTAAAGAATCTGACCATCCTTTTATTTATTTATTTATTTTAAGATTTATTTATTTTTCTGAGAGAGAGAGAGAGAGAGAGTAGGTGGAGGGGCAGAGGGAAATAATCTTCAAGTAGACTCCCCATTGAGCGTGGGGCCCGACATGGGGCTCAATCTCACGACCCATGAGATCATGGCCTGAGCTGAAACCAAGAGTTGGACGCTCTACTGACTGAGCCACACAGGTGCCCCCTGACAACCCTTTTAGAATTTAACTTGGCAATGTTGAACACATTTTCAGGTCTGAAAATTTTCCTTGAAAACTATAAAATACATAATGTATAGTGCTATGGTTATCTGTGACCTTAGTGTCACATATGCCAGGTACCATACTAAATTCTATATTCTTATATCCATGATCTTGCAGTCTACCATGAAAGACAGATACATCTTTCTGGTAACTAGAGCACAGTTTTATGGTTTTCTCTAAATACTGTCCTTTATGCATGAAGTAAGACTTTATGTGGAAAAGAAAGATGGGTAGGGTTGATTGGAACATGTATTTCTTTCTCTATGATAGATTCTTCCTGGGTTTATCCAGCTTTACAAATAAGTATTTGCCCCAAGTCAGTATTGATGAATAGTTGACAGAGAATGCTTTGTTCATTTTGTGGCCTGCTGGGAGATTCTGAAATTATCTTAATTTGTTTTATGATTGAACTAATGCACAGTTTCTTAAAACTGGGATTTAGAAACCTAGGGAGAAAACTCAGGACTCTCAAACTGCTGCTTATGGTTAGTAGCCACCAGTTACAGGTTTTCTGAACTCACATGTGGGTGTTAGGACTACTTGTACTTGTTGAAGCTTTACCCACCCACCCTCCAATTTTTATCATGTGGAGCTATTAGGAGGGCGATTAACTTGGGAGGGATTTTATTTTTGTCTCTGAGGTTGCTAAATTAAACAAAGCAATGTAAACATTTTGGTGGCTGCCTATAAACCATGTTTGGCAGAATATTCTATTTGTGTGCATTATACCACTACTGAATGTATGATGGACTTACCACCATCATTATGGTAAATAAAATGTTTTTCTTTTTGGTTTTGTGTTTTATTATGTACTGATTAAAATCTAATTTGTTATTCAATCACAGTTGTAAATACAAGTGCTGATTCTTTTTTGTCATTAACTTTGGAGTATGAAATATTCCTTTTTTAATTGAAATATAGTTGACACAGTATTCTTAAAAGTGAATTGTCTTTAGGCTTTTTTTTTTCGCTTGAAGATCATAAAGGACTTAATACAGAAGAAATTAGGTTAGCCAAACAGCTTAAAAGTAATTTTAAAAATAGAAGCTAGGGGGTGCCTGGAGAATATTGTTGAAGGTAGGATATTGAGCCTTGGAGAGAATAAGCTGACTGGTCCCCTGATTCAGTGTATGAATAAATAGAAACAAATTTATACATCATAAAACATTTAAGTCTAGAAGAGATGCTCCAGCTCTCCAGCTTTTCCAGTCTTCTCTCTGGTACGTGAAATTACTGGAGGATGATGCCTTTCATGTCAGTTTTAGAATGAGCCTTACTGAGTGCTGTAGATACCAGATGCTAAAATATGCTGGAACCTATCCTGAGAGCTGATTTAGGAAGTGTAGGGAAGAAACTGGGCTGCAATGGGGAGAGGAAATGGGACTAGAGGCAACTTTCGGGTACAGTGCCCATAAGGTGAAGGGAAGGAACTAAGGGAACCAAAGGAGGAGGAGGAAAATTAGAAAACTCTCCTATGTGGTATGTGTGCTCTGCTGGGCTGTACCACTTTAGAACCAGAGAAGTGTTGGAGAATGAGGGAAATGGAAAAAAGCAAAAGAGGAAGTTGGGGTAGCTATTTTCAGATGTGGAAGAGTCCTGAAGGCTTTTCTTAGGTCTTTCCCTGATTTTAAATCTTCCTGCCTTACTACTGAAAGAGTCCTGGAATTGGCCACACACTGGAGCAAAGCAGTTACAGCAGGACCAGCCAGAAGGCCTAGAGCCCTGGGAGTTAAGGTTCCCACTTGTTTTAATCTCATGAGTCTGTTTCTGCCTCCTTTCTTCCAGTTAGGCAATATTTATTATTTGGTAAAAATTAGTTGGATCTTACTATAAATGAAACTCTGATGAGAAGTCACTTCAGTTGAAGTAACTCTTAACTGAATAAAAGGATTTTTATTTTTAGTATCTGAGGGATAGGGAAGATGATTTTAGGCAGACACTAAAAAAATTATTTTTGAATTTTTTACTTTTTTTTTTAAAGATTAGCTTCTTAGTTTTGGTGTTTTGGTTTTTGTTTTTAAAGATTTTACTTATCTTAGCAAGAGTGCGAGTGGAGGGGGTGGGTGAGGAGCAGAAGGGAGAAGGAGGGGGAAAGAATCTCAGGCAGACCCTGCACTTAGTGTGGGGCCCCACGTGGGTCTCGATCCCATGACCCTGAGAGTATGACTTGAGCCGAAACCAAGAGTCAGATGCTCAACCAACTGAGTCACTGAGGTGCCCCAGTTTTTGTTTTGTTTTGTTTTTGTTTTTTGGTTTCTTTTTTTAATTACATATATCTGATACCTTTGGTGTTTTAAATAAATGTCTCCATAAGAAGATCACTTAATTTAGAAATCTTAATTTCAGTTTGTAACTTTTTTAGTAAAACAATAAAGTTATCAAAAAATTAAAAATATATGTAGTTAGAAACCAGAATTTTTGATCTGCCACATTTATTAATCTTTTAAGTATTGCTTCTGAGTTTATATTTGGTTTGCTTGCTTGCAGCTTGTCATTTTCTTTTTTCTTTTTTTTTTTTTTTAAGATTTTATTTATTTATTTGACAGAGAGGGAGAGAGACAGCAAGAGAGGGAACACCAGCAGGGGTAGTGGGAGAGGGAGAAGCAGGCTCCCCGCTGAGCAGGAAGCCGGATGTGGGGCTTGATCCCAGGACCCTGGGACCATGACCTGAGCCGAAGGCAGACGCTTAACAACTGAGCCACCCAGGCCCTTCCCCCCCCCTTTTTTTTTAAAGATTTTATTTATTTTTTTGACAGAGGGAGAGAGCGAGAGAGGGAACACAAGCAGGGGTAGTGGGAGAGGGAGAAGCAGGCTCCCCGCAGCCCTGCAGCTTGTATTTTCAAATTTAGGTTATCAAAGCTACCTTGATTGGCTAGCCAAAAAATTATGGATGTATGTTTATGAATCTTATTTAAGTGGAACCACAAATGTTTCTTCTCGACATAGTTTTTAGTTTCATTCATGTTTTTGCATAATACTGTATATTATTCTATATAGTTTTCCATTTTCAGCTGTTGTGCAGCTTATCAATTGTGTGGATGGACATCTGCACTGTTGCCAGTTTCTGGCTATACAAATAATGCTGCTATGAAATTCTTTTTCAGGAGTCTTGCTAGGCACATGCCAGAGTTTCTATAGCATTTGGTACCTAAAAGCAGGAATACTGGATCATGTGGAATGGGTGCTTTCAACTTAACTAGAATTCCCAGTTTACTGATGTGGTTCTGACAATTTCCACCATTCCCACAACAGGGTATGAGTTCCCAACTGCTCAGCATTCTCACCAACACTTGATATCATCAGACTTCTTAATACTTAGCCAATTTGATAATATCTTGTGGCTCTTGGTTTGCATTTTTTCAGTAATTGTTGTTGAGATTGAACAACTTTCCATATTCTTGTTAACCATTTGGATTCCCCTTTGTGTATTTGTTCAAAACTTCTGGATTGTCCTCCTTGTCACTGATTTGTGGGACTTCATATATTCTAAATACTTTTTCTGTTTTATCATTTTTTACTTTATGGTTAGTGCCTTGGAGGTCATATTTAAGCAGTCCCCCCTACCTTGAGGTCCTAGGTTATCTTTTAAAGCTATTTAGTTTTGACTTTCACAGTTTGGTTTTTATTAACTGGAGTTAATCTCTGTGTGTGTTTGAGGAAGGAGTCTTTCTGGACTCTTCCTTGTTGTTTCATTGATATTGTAGATTTGTATATTTGTCCATCCTGGGGCAGTTCCCCCCTGTATGTATATCCTATCAGGCAGAAAAAAGGCTTTGCCTCTTGTTAACTGATCTTTAAGCATTTCTTAGCCCTTTTCATTTCCACATCATTTTAGGATCAATTTAAGTTCTCACACAGGTTGAGATTTTGATAGGGATTACCTTTAAACCCCAGATAACTTGTGGAGAGAAGGGACATCCCTATAACAGGGAGGCTTCCATTTCATGAACATGTTTATCATCCCTGACCGGAGGAGAGGTGAGAAAATGGCATCCAGTCCTGATCACACTGTAACCCTTTCCAAGGCACAAGAGAGAAGGCACATTGTGCTTTTGCAGCTCTTTAGCAGATTAGCTCATGACAGATTTGCTAGATTTACCAAGCTGAGGTGTGGGATTTTTGTTTTTTAGTTGCAGTTAAAAAAATGTGTGTGTGTGGGGGTGTATAAAATTTACCCTGTTTATCAATTTTTTTTTAAAGGGGGGAAGGGGCAGAGGGAGAAGGAGGGAGAGGGGGAGAGAGAATCTTAAGCAGGCTCCACGCCCAGTGAATTAGCCAGACACAGAGCTCCATCTCGTGACCCTGAGTTCGTGACCTGAACCAAAAGCAAGAGTCAGCCATTTAACTGACTGAGCCACCCAGACGCCCCACCCTGTTTACCATTTTAAGGCATACAGTTTAGTAGTGTTAAGTTACATTCACATTGGTGTGCTGTAGATCCGAAGTTTCTCATCTTGAACTGAAACTCTATAACCATTAAACAATAACTACCCATTCCCCCTACCCCTGGACACCACCCTTTCTGTTTCTATGAATTTAACAACTCTAAACACCTTTTTAAGTGGAATCATACATTATTAATCTTTTTGTGACTGGCCTGTTTAACTTAACATAATGTTCTCAAGGTTCATCCATGCTGTAACATACGTCATTTCCCTCCTTTTCAAGGCTGAATAATATTCTGGTGTATGTATATATCACACTTTGTTTATCCATTCATCTGTCAATGACATTTGGGTTGCTTCCACGCTTTGGCTATTGTGAATGCTGCTGCTTTGAACATGGGTGTGCAAATACTGTTTCAGGCGTTTTTTGGGTTTTTGTTTTGTTTTGTTTTACTATTATATACTACAGCTCCAAATATGGAAATTAAAGTACCCTAGAAAAGTGAAAAGTCAGAAGTGGGCTTGGGTATGGAGGCTGTTTTATGTGAAAGGACCCGGGCTCTTGCTGCTACCATACAATAAGGAACTTTAAAAAATTTAGGAAAAATAGCTCATCATTAAAAGTATGACACAGGACTTCTGGGTGGCTGAGTCGGTTGGGTGTCTGCCTTTGACTCAGGTCATGATCCTGCTGTCCTGGGATCAAGCTCCACATTGGGTTCCCTGCTCAGCGGGGAGTCCACTTCTCCCCCTACCCCTACCCCTCCCCCTGGCTCATGCTCTCTCTCTCTCTCTCTCTCACTCAAATGAATAAATAAAAATCTTTAAAATATATATACACTACAATTTAAAAAAAAATAACTGACATAATTTTAAGGCCATTTTGAACTCTTAATTTTATAAATATGTAATACTTTTGGGGTGCCTGGATGGCTCAGTCGTTAAGCATCTGCCTTGGGCTCAGGTCATGATCCCAGGGTCCTGGGATTGAGCGCCACATCGGGCTCCCTGCTCAGCGGGAAGCCTGCTTCTCCCACTCCCCCTGCTTGTGTTCCCTCTCTTGCTGTCTCTCTGTATCAAATAAATAAATAAAATCTTTAAAAATATATATATATGTAATACTTTCACATGGCTCAATATTCAAAAGATTCTAAAGCATCTATAAAAAAAGTCTCCCTCTTATTCCATCCCCTGCTACTCAGGTGCCCTCTCCTCCAGTGGAAACCAGCATTATCAGTGTCTTCTGTTTCTCTCTGGGGGTATCTTATACATACACAAATGTGTAGATATTTTCCCCCTCCTTTTATACACAAATGGTAGCAGACTGTTCCCCACTTTTTTTTTTTTAAGATATTTATTTATTTGCCAGAGAGAAAGCGCAAGTAGGGCAAGGGGCAGAGGGAGAAGCAGGCTCCCCGCTGAGCAAGGAGCTGGATGCGGGACTCGATCCCAGAACCCTGGGATCATGACCCAAGCTGAAGGCAGGCGCTTAACCCACTGAGCCACCCAGGCATCCCTCCCTACTTTTATACCCCTTATTCTTTCTTACCAAATATTCCTTCGAAGTTAATTTCATCACTATTGCTGCTGGATGTTCCATTGTACAGATGAGCAATTTATTCAGTTCCCCACTCATGAATAGTTAGAATTCCAATCTTTTGCTATAATAAACAATGCAATAAATAACTCTTTACAAATTTCACACATGAGCAGGTGTACCTGGATAAATTATAAGAAGTAGAATGCTGGTCAAAGAGCATATGTATAGTTTTTTAAGAAATGTAATTTTTTATATTTTTAAAAAGTGTTGATTTTTAAAAACATACTTAGTATTTGTGCTGTTATAACATATAAAGAACATTCAATATTATTATATGTTTAGAAATAGGTACCTGGGGGGCAAGGGGAGTCTATTTTTTTTTATTATTTTTAAGATTTTATTTATTAGAGAATGAGAGAGAGCACAAGAGGGAAGAGGGTCAGAGGGAGAAGCAGACTCCCTGCCGAGCAGGGAGCCCGATGTGGAGCTCGATCCTGGAACTCCAGGATCATGACCTGAGCCGAAGGCAGTCGCTTAACCAACTGAGCCACCCAGGCGCCCGGGGAGTCTATTGTTTTTCAATACATAGCTCACAAAGTAAAGCATGAACCCTGAGCCTTAAAGCAGCTGAGTGATGCTGAATGAAGAGCGCGGGGGTCCTTTCAGTCTTTAGTCCCAAGAGGGGCGTGGGTTGAGAAGCACTGTACTGAGTATCTCTAATGCATAGACACGGGTTTATTTTTTTTTATGATTTTATTTATTTATTTGACAGAGCACAAGTAGGCATAGCGGCAGGCAGAGGGAGAAGCAGGCTCCCCACCAAGCACAGAGCCTGATGCGGGGCTCCATCCCAGGACCCCGGGATCATGACCTGAGCCGAAGGCAGATGCTTAATTGACTGAGCCACCCAGGCGCCCCGACACGGGTTTATTTTTGCTGCCTCTATTGGTTAGCGTTTTATTGAACAGAGAACGATACTGTCAAGGAAAAGAATAAAACCAGGTTACTGGACCTGTCTTCCAACTTTTAGAAGTCTTCTCTCCCATATTAAGTATTTAACAACCACCTGTTAGGTACAACGCATGTTCTTGGATACAGTGAAGAACATGAAGTAGCAAAAGGGATGTCTCCTACACTCACAGAGATTTGTCTCGTGATATAAATAACACATCATCCAGAGAACGTTATCTAGTTAAGTGGTTTGTTTTTTTCTTAAGTGATAAGAAGTAAAAAAATAAAATTGTCACAGGACTTGAGATTGAAAACAAGGTCAGGGGTTCAACAAGTGTGCCCTGCTGGCTGCATATACAAGTTGTACCACCTATTGGAAATCTGTCGTGATTTAGAATCTTCCAACAGAAGTGCCATATCCTTCTTCATTGCATCTTTGAAGTGTTAACACCTTTATTCGCGGGAAATATGCTGCTTTTTGTACACTTAATTGCCTGCTGTGGTTTGGCAGTTCAACTATAATTTTCAGGGTAGTATTTTCAAATACAGTTCAAATAGAAGATAAATATACAGCTATTGCTAGTCTTTTTTTTTTTTTTTTGCCTTAAACATTTAATAGCAAATGTCTTGAAATATTTTTGTATGATTTTTAGCAATAGGGCAATAAGACAAATGCCATTCAGTGCTTTGCTATTCTCATAACAGTATGCTGGTGGTTATGTGTTTTCAAATTTTTCTGTGAGAACTAACAGCTTTCTACTAAATAGGATACTATTTCATGGGCTTAAAACATCACTTTCCAAATGAAAAACTCCAGTTCCTTAGTTACTGTGGAAGCTTTTAAGCTGAACTGAGAACAAAATGATGAAGTCAGACAATTTTCATGTTAGACCACCACTCGTGGATAAGGGGAGCAATTAACTGGCCTCAGTGCAATCAAGACCTGAGGTTCCCCTGGAATAGTACTGTAGTGAGTCAGAGATGGTACAGCAGTGGGCAGGGTTCGGAAGTTTCCTTTCCTCCTTAGCTCTCTAGGCTTGGAGAGAGAGGTGGCTGTCCTGTTACTTTTCTGATGTCGTCTCTCTTACGATTCTTAGGGATATCTGTGTTTGCCTTATATGGCGTTGCAGCAGCATCATCTTCTCTCTGACGTCACCGTCCGTGGATTCGTTGCTGGGGCTACTAATATCCTATTCCGCCAGCAGAAGCACCTCAGTGATGCCATTGTGGAGGTGGGCTTATGTATGAGCACGTGTCCTTGACACTTCTGGTCCCTGTTTTTCTTTCTTAACTGGAATTCTGACAGCATAGGAATAACACTAATAAAGGTAAAAATTGCTGTACCAGGCATTCTTTGCACCTTAGGTATATTAACTGACCTAATTCTAACAGCCTGTAAGATAGGCTTGTTGCTCTTCATATCTTACACGTGTGGAAGCTAAGGAGCAGAGAGATTAAACGGCTAGTAAGTGGGTGAGCCAGGTTGCAAGCCAGTCTGGTCCTACTACAATCTCATAATTAAAACGTGTTTATTGTTTAAATATTTTCAATACTTCTAGCCTATTTAATATGTTCCTGATATCAGGAGCAAGGAGCTACAGATAAATATTTGACATCAATATACAAAAAATTTAAATCGTATTTAGTTTTACAATTGAAGTAATTAAAAAAAGAAAAAAAAAGGAAATTTCACCCACCCTAGGTTTTTATAGTTTCTAATCAAAAGTACCAAAACATGATTTGTGGGGAAATGTTTATAGTATCATAAATGAAAAATCTGGGATCCCAATTTTGAGGAATTAAAATAGGTCCATACCTTCCAAGGCAAAGCATACAGATGGAGGGACCACAGAGTTGCCTCAACATTACTGGTTATGTTCTACTTTTAAAGTTGATGGTTGGTGGTTTCATAGGTATGTGTATATTACTTCAAAATTAACCTGTAGGTTACATAGCTCTCTTTGTATATCAAATATTACATAATAAGATATTCCAAGGTACCTGTGTACTCAAGAATTTTTAGGAATTATAGTTACTAATTGTATTTATTTCTGGTTGTGTGACAAAGGTGACTTTTACTATACCTTTCTGTTTTCCAAGATATTTACAAGTCAACAGTTACTTTTATAATTCAAAATAAAATATTTATGCATATATTTTCTAAAAACAAAATGAGGATTTTTTGAATAGATATAGAAAAAAACTTCAGTGTAAAAACCTGTCTCTTTCTTAGCCTCACTTTTTGAGAATGCTGTTATTCATATTTTTTATTTCCAGCTTCAGCTTCCCAGTAGTTACTCTTTAAAATATGGCATGGATGTCCGCGTGAATGCCCAGACTCTGACTTGTACCTGGGTACCCTCTAGGTAGAAGAAGCTCTGATCCAGATCCATGATCCAGAACTCAGGAAGCTGCTTAACCCAACCACTGCAGACCTCAGGTTCGCAGATTACCTAGTGAGGCACGTGACGGAGAACCGGGATGATGTCTTCTTGGATGGCACAGGCTGGGAGGGAGGTGACGAATGGATCCGAGCCCAGTTTGCAGTCTACGTCCACGCGCTGCTGGCTGCCACACTGCAGTTAGGTAAGGAGCATGGCTGCTTTTTCCTTTTGTAATCTTTATGAGGTTTTGAATTGCATAAGAAAGACATTTTCATTATAAAATTATGTTACTCCCTCATACAGAGATAACTGCTCTTAGCATTTTGAGTATTTGATATCCTTCCAGACCTTTTTCTCTGTATGTTTTGGATTTTAGTTTTGTGGTATTTGTGGTGATCCTTTTACAAAAATGGATCCCATTCCAAATGTTTTTTGAAACTTATGTTTCTATTATAAAGAAAAGCTATCGAGACTGCGAATGCAGGTCACTTTTACATGGCTGCTTAGTGTTCCCAAGGACCATGTGGAAGGAAGGATGTGTCAGTATCTGGGGGCTATTTATAAACATTGCTTACATGTTTTTAAGATATGTAAAGGGAGAAAAGAAATATGAAAGCAGTCACTGGAATTCCGAGTGATTAAACCTTCAAGTTTTCCATTCTAAGAAATCCTATTCCTATTAAATGGTTAAAATAGAGCAGGTAAAGATAGACTCACTCCTGTATTAAAACCATTTCATTCCCCCGTAGGGAAGGAAATCTATAAAAAGAGAAAATGAAGCTTTACAGTGAGCTTTTGCATGTGGTTGTCTACCACCGTGGGCATGTAGCAAATACTTAGTAGGTTGTTGTAGTTGTTAAAAGTGAGCTTTTGTTTTTCCTTTTTTTTTTTTTTTCAACTATCTCTACCACTGTTTGGGGGAACTATTAAAAATGTGGTAAAATACACATAACCTAAAATTTACCATCTTAGCCGTTTATAAGTACGTAGTTTCCCAGTAGCAGTAAGTGCACTCACACTGTCCTGTCAGTACAGCCCCCTCCCAGGTTAGTTCTTCATGAAGTGTGCATGTCATTTGTAAAGGAAAGCTCTGGAGCAAATCCTTATTTGTTAATGGGATATTTTTAAATATCTCGCCTCTTCTACAGATGTAACAGCTGAGACACCAAGATTAAATGTGTAGTTCAAAATCATTCAATAATCTAGGAAGAAAACCCCAGTCTCCACCAGTCATGTTAGCTTCATGAGTAATTTACTTTTTTTAAACGTATTTGCCTAGGTAGCTGTAAATGCTCAATAGTAATAGTGACTAGCCTTTTTTTTTTTGGAACATATGTACAGTGACCTGTTTTGTTTTGAGCACTTTATTTCTTTTTTTTCTTTTTTATTGTTATGTTAATCACCATGTATTACATAATTTGTTTTGGTGTAGTGTTCCATGATTCATTGTTTGTTCATAATTGAGCACTTTATTTCTAACTCATTTCATCCTCACAAGAATTCTGGAGGTAGAGACCATGTCCTCTTCATCTTACAGGAGAGGCAGTGAGGCCCAGAAAGGTTAAGTAGCTTGCTCATCCCTCTGGTCGAGGATGAGCTGCGATTCAAATGTAGGTAGTCTGGCTTAGGCCCGTGCTGCTGTTCCAAAGGAGATTCAGCCTAGGGAACTGTTTGAGGAATACATTCTTAAGAGAATTTCCTTATGTTGCACTTAGAGTCATGTGTATTCTCTTCCTTTCCCAGCAACAAAAGTCCTGTTTCACCTTCAAAGCAGGTGACTTATGATAAGTATATGAAGCAAAAGCCATTTGTATCTGTTCTCCAAACCTTTTCTGTTCTTCCAAGCAGAAGTGTTCTGCATTAAAGCTTCCCCATGATAATGAAAAAGCCGAAAAGTTTTCAACATTAAATATGAAAATTCCTTTGTTATTTAAGTATTTTGATGGTGAAATGCATGGAGATTAAAGAGTGAGTTTCATCAAATAGTGAGTTAAAGTCCTAAGAAGAAAAAACAGTGACTAAAAGAACCAGTTCATGTATTCATTCTGATTTTTTTCATAGAAATACATTTGTGAAAAGCTAGAAAGTGCTCTAATTGCCTACTCCATATGTATATACATCAATACATTTACTCCCTGCACAGTCTACAGTTTTTGCTTAATAAGTAATACTATGCCTCCTGACCTTGGTAAGGAGAACGTGGAAATATTTTGGAATTATAAGGAACCTTAGAATATATCTGGCTCAACCCTCTTATTTTCTGGTTAGGAAAATGAAGTTCTGAGTGATTGACTTGCCAAAGGCCACATAGCTTCTTAACAGGATTTCTGGAACTAGACCCAAGTTTCCTGATATCTGGTAGGCTGTCTCCCCCAAAAAGCGTGGGTGATAAAGCCATTCCTTGGTTTTGGTTTTTTGGTTATGAATCTTTATATCCCTGACTGGCTACAGTCCAGCTCAACTTTCAGATATTTACTTGACAGATAATGAAAAGATATTATCGGACTATGGGACAACCTTTGTTACAGCATGGAAGAATACTCACAACTACAGGGTGTGGAACAGCAACAAGCATCCGGCACTTGCAGAAATAAATCCAAAGTAAGCACATCCTCTGAGGATTGATAGTACATAACATGGTTGATTTACAGGTATGCCCCAATATAAAGAAGATCGTATCTGAACTTTGATGACAACGCGAATATCTCCAAAAATCTCCTTAAGTAGATTATAAAATCCCAAATACAGAGAAGCAGCTGAAAACTGCTTCCCTGTTCTTACTTCTTACACAAAAAGCCCAAGACATTTTTGGAAGGATTAACGTTTCTCCCAGCTCTTGGCATAATTCAGAAGAGGAAGTCTGGTACATGGCAATGCTCGGTACATGATAGTTCTCTCCCTTTCCCTGGATCTGTACTTTAGCAGAATGGTCGAACAAGATAGAAACCTTGAAGAAAATACCACTGGCTGAGACTGAGAGGTTATTTTAAAACATGAAGTGTGAAAAAACTAAAGTTGATATTTGAACTCCTAGATGTGTGGTCAAACCTAGTTTCCAGCTCAGATTCTAAAATCCAACAAAATTTAATACCTGTCACAATACTGAATGTTGACAGACTTTATCCATGTAAGCATAAAAGACATTTAAACATGTTGTGAAGTGGGGCCATTATGAAGCAATGCTGTGTTGTTTGAATGGAACAGAGTAGAATCTAAGGAGAGCTCTCCATTGATAGAATGTGTACATAGTACCCCTCCCCTTCTTCGCGGTTTCAGTTCCTCGGGGTCAGCCGCAGTCCTAAAGCAAATGACGCTTTTTGTGACGCGTCATCAGAAGGTCGGTAGTAACCTAACACTACATCACAATACTTAACGTCCTTCACCTCCCTTCGTCTCATCACTAGGCATTTTACCATCCCACATCATCACAAGAGGAGGGAGGGTGAGTACAGTGCAGTAAGATATTTCAGAGACAGAGAAAGACTACATTCACACATTCACATAACTTTTATTACAGTGTATTGCTATAATTGTATTTTATCATTAGTTACTGTTTTTAATCTCATGCTGTCCCTAATTTATAAATTAAACTTTATTGTAGGTATGTGTATATATAGGAAAAAACATAGTATATTATATAGAGTTCGGTACTGTCTGTGGTTTCAGGCATCCATTGGGGGTCTCAGAATGTGTCCTCCACAGATAAGGGAACTACTGTACATCCTAGGGACTTCTTTTCTAAATTAAATGACTAAAATGATTTTTTTTAATGATACAAGTATACACTGAATGTTTTCATTTGTGTTTTAAACTTCTTGGTGAGAGTCAGACAAAAACCAGCTTTGTACTAACTACTATATTATTTGGGAGCTGGGGTTAACTGGCTAGACTGGGGATGTGATTTAAGTGGTACTGTAAAGAATATTCCCTCTCTCTCCACACACACACACACACACACACACACACACACACACACACACACACACACAGAATCCAGATATTTATGTCATGGGAACTTGGGGAAGCATCTGCAAGGATGAAGTATAGCAGGGTTTTAAAGAACATGTCTGTTAAACTTTATATCATCTCTCAAGAAAAATGACTAGGTTCAGCAACAATTTTGGTGAATTTAATCATCACACTGGACTATAGCAGAAACCTCTATTTGGCATTTGAATGTGGTAAAAACATAGAGAATTAAAAGACAAAAATATCTTAATAGTATTAAATGAGAGAGCTAAGAGTTCAAAGTATTCTCCCTCACTAACCACAAGGTCTGTGTTTTAAAGAGTGATGAAGGAAAACAGATGTGAGTTTGTTTGCCTGGTGGCCCTCACTGTGATGGGGGCTGGGGGGAGTGAGGGCCCACCTCAGCCATCCTCAGAATGGCCTACAAGTCCATCCAGTCTCTTCCCCCAGTGTTCTGTACTGATAAGCTGGTCAGATCTTCCCCCAACTGTTCTGTACTGATAACCTGGTCAGATCTTCCCCCACTGTTCTGTACTGATAACCTGGTCAGATCTTCCCCCCACTGTTCTGTACTGATAACCTGGTCAGATCTTCCCCCCACTGTTCTGTACTGATAACCTGGTCAGATCTTCCCCCCACTGTTCTGTACTGATAACCTGGTCAGATCTTCCCCCAGTGTTCTGTACTGATAACCTGGTCAGATCTTCATCCAGTCTCTGCCTCTGTGGTGGTGCCTTTAACTTGAACCAGCTCTATAGATTTTAATGCAGGTTCATAAGAGGCTTAGCTGGAATGGATTATAAAGGGTTGTAAAACGGTACTTTTAAAAATGTGTAAATAAATTGGGGTTATTTAGATTCAAGAGAAAGCTGAAGAAAGACTTGATATATATAGGTAGGGAAATTATGCAGATATAATAACAGTTTTTCATTATTTTCACCAAATTAAAAACAAGAAATGATAGTCTTCAGTTGTTATCAGGGGATATAACTTAGACATATTCCAGACTCAGATCTGAGATCTATGAAACCCTTTCTCTAGCTCCAAAAGAGGAGAGAAGGCAGTCCTCTAACTTCCCTTAGTAAACAGCAGGTATGCTTCATCCTTTAAACAGGGCGTTCCCAGGAATATAAAGAATGATTAAGTACTCTCAGTTCGGGCGCCTGGGTGGCTCAGTTGGTTGGGCACCTGCCTTCTGCTCAGGTCATGATTCTGGAGCCCCAGGATTGAGTCCCGCATCAGGCTCCCTGCTCAGTGTGGAGTCTGCTTCTCCCTCTGACCCTACCCCCTCTCGTGCACTCTCTCTCTCTCTCTCTCTCTTACTCACTCTCACTCTCGAATAAATCTTTAAAAATAAAAAAGTACTCTCAGTTCTTTCAACCTGTGATTCAGGAATCCAGAAAAAGTAATTACATATGCTTAATATGGCCAGTAAGGAAATTTGTTGTCTTTTGAAAAGCCACAAATAGCATTTTGATGTTTTAATAAGTAGCTATACATTTCATTAGGGTCACTTTTTTTTAAGATTTTATTTATTTACTTGAAAGAGAGACAGTGAGAGAGGGAACACAAGCAGGGAGAGTGGCAGAGGGAGAAGCAGGCTTCCCGCTGAGCTGGGAGCCTGATGCAGGGCTCGATCCCAGGACCCTGGGATCATGACCTGAGCTGAAGGCAGACGTTTAACCCACTGAGCCACCCAGGTGCCCCTAGGGTCACTTTTTTTGTTAGACACTGAGAGAGACCTCTCAGGGTGTAATAAGAATGTGAATATTTATTGACTCCTTTTATGGTACAACTTTGGTCAAGTTGCCTGATTGTGTGTATGTGTGTGTATATATATATACATGCGTGCACACATACACTTCTTCCCTTTTGTACATTTTTAAGACCTGCATTTTGAGTTGCTTTTCAAAAAGAAAATACAGATTTTACTGATGTACACAAATCTTCAGATGACCAGTTGCATGCATTTATAAGATGGCCAGAATCAAAGTACAGTCCATGGCCGTGGCCTAAGGTAGTGACTAATCCTGACTATCCTGGGGAGCTTTTTAAAAACATTGATGCTTCAGCCCAGCCCCAGACCAAATAAATCAGAACATGAGTGTAGCATCAACATAAACCTCTTTCTCACCCCCCACTCCAAGAAAAAAAAAAAACACCTATTTCACAAGGGAGGAAATAAGCTCAAAGAGGCTCCCAAGACTATAAGTGAAGATCTGTGCTCAAAGCCACTTTGCCTGCTGTCATGTGCGGAACACCTCCACCTAGCTGAGTCACCCCACAAGGTTTACTGATACTTCTTGTGACGGCATTGTTTTGCAGCTTTATTGGTAAAATACTCATAGTCTAACAGTCAGAAACTTTGTTTTACAGTCATCCTTTTCAAGGCCAGTACTCCGTGTCAGACATGAAGTTAAGATTCTCACAGTGAGTAGAGAAAAAACTAGGAAAATTTTTATGTCTGAGCTTATGGCATGTGTTTCATTGCTAATTAGGAATTGTTTGTCTCCACTTGATAGACTTGTGCTTCAAATAGTAACCAAATATGTGCATGACATTCTCCAGCTCAGCAGTGTGTATGTTTCAGAGTAAAAACACTGCTGTTTCATAGAGAATGGTGTGAACTAATAACAGAATTTGCCATTTTTATTCTGGTGGAGTAACTTTAGCAAATCATAACTGTAGGGAGAATTAACCATGCATCCTTATGGACTTTTTTTGGTTCATCTGCGTGTTATTTTAGTATTTTCTGAAAGTTTACATGCTTAAGGCTACTAAATTAATTGATGCATGACAAATAATTTAGCCTCTTTTCTCAGTAACTCTATTTTGGGGGTGGTTCTAAGGTGTGGTATGTGTGAATTTTTGTAATGTACTTAAAACTTCTTTGCTTTACTCAGTTCTGTTCAAAACAGTGAACGTGGCAAAAAAATTGGAAACGTCATGGTCACAACCAGCCGAAATGTTGTACAAACAGGAAAAGCTGTTGGTAAGACATGCCTTTAGCCAGAAACAGATTAGAATCATAACACATCTCTTCTCTGTACTCAGTGTGTCATTGATAAAATCATAAGGTTGTAGAGACCTGTGTGTCATATAATAATACAAGATGGTTGAATATAAAGGTTTTTTCATCTTATTCATGAAAATTCTTATGACATCAGATAATATCAAAGTTCAGCAAATTTTGCCACACCTGATGGAGAGAGACCAATTTTCTAATGTGTTCACTGTTCTAAGGATTCAGCATTTCCTGAGCTGCCTGCAGTTTTTTATAAGTAGTAAAGCACCATAATAAAGTAGGCATTAGGAGTGCTGTCTTCTAAGGTATTATCATAAAATAAAGGAAATCAGTGAAACCAACAGGTCATTTTTTAAAAGATTAACAATATCAGTAAAACCTTTATAGGCTAATAAGAAAAGATACAAATTACCAGTATCGGGAATGGAAGAGGGGACATCACTATAGATCTTAGAGAAATTAAAAGTATTACAGGGAATATTGTGAATAACTTTATGCCAGTTTTTTGACAATTTAGATGAACTATGCAAGTTCTCTGAAAGATTCAAATTGCCAAAACTGATGAAAAATTTAAATAGCCCTATATCTATTAAATAAATTGAATTAAAAATCATGCCACAGGTTTTTAATTTAATCTAAGCCAAGATGTCTTCACCTACGAATTTTATCAAATATTTAAGGAATAATACCAATTTTATACAAACTCTTTCAGAAAGTAGTGGATGAGTTGTAACCCTCCCCAGTTCTTTTATTTATTTATTATTATTATTTTTAATCAGAGAGAGTGAGCACAACCACGGGCAGTGGCAGGCAGAGGGAGAAGCAGGCTCCCCTCTGAGCAAGGAGCCAATGCAGGACTTGATCCCAGACCTTAGGATCATGACCTGAGCCAAAGGCAGACACTTACCTGGCTAGTCACCCAGGTGTCCCTCCCCAATTCTTTTAATGTGGCCAGTATTACCCTGAGAACCGAAGCCAGAAATCGTATCATGCTGTTGTATACATTCTTCTGCACTTAGCTTTTTTCAGTTAAAATACTTTGAAGTTGGGGCACCTGGGTGGCTCAGGTCATGATCCTAGGGTCCTGGGATTGAGCCTCACATCGGGCTCCCTGCTAAGTGGGGAGCCTGCTTCTCCCTCTCCCACGCCCCCTGCTTGTGTTCCCTCTCTCACTGTGTCTCTCTCTGTCAAATAAATAAAGGCTTTGAAAAAAGAATACTTCAAAGTGTGTTCCATATCAATTCTAAAAAAAAAATCTTGTTCCTTTTCTATATTTTTAACTTTTTTTTTACATAATTTCAAACTTGAATGGTGCAACAGTGTGCAAGGAACTCCCAATTATCTCAGATTTGCCAATTATATACATTTTGCCACATTTGCTTTGTCGTATCAGTATGTAAAAATAGGAGCCATCTCCTTCCTTAGCTTTTGAGAAAGGTTGACTAACCCTTACTGAACACAATTCAAAAGCCCTGGACCTCAGGAATCTCTGTGCAGGCCTCCTAGTTCTACCATTCTATGTAGCTAGAGATAGGGTGAGTGAACTACATATGTAGTCTACTACAGACCCATCCCTTTAGAAGACAAACATAGAGCACATAGCCCCATCAGTGGGTTCATTTTATCACAGGGAATGGAATTTAATATGTAAGCATTTATTCTATACAATATTATGCGTTTAACTTTTGACTTCTTATTTTTTAATAGAAAAATTCTCCTTCATTATAAGTATGATGTCAGTCGTTACTTCATTTTTAGTGATGCTGGTTATTTACATTATAAGGCCAGTTCTTTTCCACACTCCCTCTCTCTAGGAATAGTGGTAACATATGATTCAACTTAAATAATTTCGCTTAAGCATCAACTTTGGAGATGAGGTTTTTTAAAACAAAACTGCCCTGAGGCAGATAGAGCAGTTGGCATCTTCATTTATTGCAATATCGTTTCAGATGACAACAGCACAGTTCCTGAAAGTAGCCTAACCACTATTCCCTGTGTAGGTGGTCATCAGTTATCAGCTTGGGTTTAAGGTATGGAGAGCACAGAGTTCTTTCTCGGCTCTCCCAAGTGATTCTGATGCACAGCCAGTGCTGAGAACTGATGGCCTAGCATGGTGGGTATTAAGGGAAGAGTCGGCTGAGTACCTGCAGAATGGTTAGGAGAGGAGACTCTTTTCCCAGAAGTTACCCAGTTTCCTTCTAGACACACGCAGAGAAAGGGATTGTTTTGAAACTAGAAATTTAAATGGTATTTTGGTAACTGTTAACCTATTGATGTTACAGTCAATTAACATTCATTAATTAGCATTGGTCTTTCATGGTCTGTTAACAAAGGTGAAGGCATTTTTGCTTTTGTTTTTCCCCTCCTCTCCATCCAGGCCAGTCTGTTGGAGGAGCTTTTACCAGCGCAAAGACAGCTATGTCTTCATGGCTTTCTACTTTCACCAGTCCTGCCCCCCAGAGTCTCACTGAGCCACCCGACGGGAAGCCCTGAGCAAGGTGTCCAGAGGCTGCTGTCGCTTCCTTAGGTTTAAGTGTCTCCCGTCTGTCTGCTCCCATCTTCATCGGCCACAGGTCCACAGCAGGGGACCAGGACGTCGAACTGTTTACATGGACGGTTGCCCTCTGTCTAAATGAATGTCGCAGGATGCTGGAAAGATGAAATCGCAGCCGTAGCGGGGATGGCTTTCCAGGTTGGGGTTTAAGTTGACTACTTTTATTTCCATCTGAGCCTGATGAAAAAACAGTTCTGATAGTGTACATTTGTTTACTTTAGAAAAGTTTTTACTTCTGTAAATTTTGTTCTCTTTTCCTGTTTGAATACCCAGATGGCCACTGTAATTTATATGGGCTAAAATTAAGTTACATTACTAATTTCTCTCAAGTTGGCCCTAAAATGTGCTTATAAAGTTAAGGGGCCATACAATCCAGCCCTTTGTTATTACTTTGCCGAGTTATATGATGATTTTTGTTTGTTAGTTGGTTTTCTACCCACAAAACACATTTATCAATTCACTTCCTCCCAGAAACATGAAGCCAGAGGTGGTAGTTCTGAGGATGGAGTGTTTAAGGTTTCATGTTTTTAATTTCTTCTTTCCCAGTCCTAAATACTTGCTCTGAGGCGTCAAGGAGTGTCACTGTGCTTTCTTCCTCTTCCCAACTGTGCAAGTAGGTGTGCAGAGAAATAGCATGGTGCCAGTTACAATGGTTTCAAGCAGTTTAACGTAAGTGTATTTAGGGCGAGACTCTAAAAGACCTTGGTGTTAGTTCTGTCAACTCTAGTTATGTTGCAGTCTTTTCTAAGCATTTTTTAACCCGCAGGTTGTGCCTTCTGTTTCTTTTGAACCGTTTTCCATCGGGTGTTTACAGATGTACAGGTTTTTTTCTTAGTCTTATTCTTCATACAGCTTTTCAAGATGTTTGGCCTTCCCACTTCCCTGATGGAAAATCCTCCTGTAATCAGTCCCTACCCCCTTATAAAAGTATTTATAAAAAAACCAAAAACAAGATGACCCATAAATATCAAGTAGAAATCTCATCTTTGCTCACGTTTAGAAAAGCAAGAGGCAAGAGGAGAAAAACACAGCCACAGTTTTCACAAAGGACCTCTGGTTTCACTTTAGACACATGCACGTGTGTGCTATCTACTGAAGATTTTTACACAGCTGTACCTCATGTATCTGTTATGCTCAGCTCTCATTTGCTTTTCAAGGGAACTTTGGATGGGTGTTCTCAGGGAGTACTTGACAGGGGACAGACTGCTTTTTCAGTAACAAAAGACACTTGGAAAATACGTTGTATGATCTACATATGATAGAGTATTGGGAAAACAGGAGATTTGATTAAGGAGAACACTTGATTATATTTGATTTATCCCTTAAGAATGGGGCACCTGGCTGGCTCAGTCGGTAGAGCATGTGACTCTTGAACTCAGGGTCATGAGTTCAAGCCCCACATTGGGTGTGGAGCCTACTTAAAAAAATAAAGTCTTTTTTAAAAATTTAGAAATGTTTATGTAAGAAGTAAATTTTTCTAGGGCATGTGAAATGGACATAGGGATATAATTCTAAATATCTCTAAATTTTCCAGTTTGTGTTTTAACACAAATCCAGCAAATCTGAAAGTGTACTTCCATTTTGAGCACAATAACTCAAAAATTCAGTGATGATCAATGAAAGGGCTTATCGTGAGAACTCTCTTAATTCCACTTCTGCTGGGAAACAGCCTTCTCAGGAAATATTATTTGAAGAGCAGAAAGTAATACCAAACAAAACCCTTAAAAGGTACTTTAATCAGTGTTGCACTGAGACTATGAAGAATTCATTCTAACATCTTGTTTCATGAGGCCACATCATTAGAGTGTCATAGTGTTAGTATGCAATTGTTACCTCTCACCTGCCGGAAGTTCACAGTGCTGAGAGCCCCATGACAGGTCAGCCAGCACGCTACTGGTCCATGCTCCAGTTTGTATGGTTTGTGGACTTAGGGTAAACTCCCATCTGTCACTGTTCAGAAGCAGGCCAATCCACACTTTGATATCCCACTGAAATAAAAATAGTTAACCTTTACTTTAGGATCACTTGTTCTCCATTTTAATATACACTTTTACATGAACTTTCTAGTTAAGAGTTCAACTCTTAAGGTGGTTATTTAACTGGCTTTCAACATAAAGTGAATATCTCAAAAGATAGAACTTTTGTTGGAGAAGTAGTCAAAAGACCGTAACTATATTTCCTTCAGGTTCTGGGAGGCGTTGGAGTTTTCAGGGAGCACAAGCTACTATGTTGTTGGCAGGGGCTTGGGGGCAGCCAGCACACTTGACAGCAGGAAGCCTGGCCTTTGGTCCCGTGAGCCTACATGCTTGTCACTTGGATTCCAGGTGTCAGCTGAGTGGCCAGCCCCAGAGGCCAGCCCCTAAGGCCCAACCTTAGGCCATCTTTGGACATCTCACTGGTAAAGAGGGATGTTTTGTTGGGCCATGCTTGCTCCAGTGCTTTTCTGTCTAAGAACTGAGTATTTGTAAGTAGGCCTGAGGGAGCTAGGGTCAGCCAGGCTTTTCCAGGGTGTGCCAGGCACATGGACTGCATCTGTAGCTTGGCGGTGGCCTCACTGCCAACTAGGTAACTTAAAAATAATGCTGGCAAGAAGTCCCTGGCATTATTTCGTTCCTACTAAGGCCTTGTGATGATAATTTACATAGAGAAGGAAAAGAGTTGTTAAGGCTACCAACCACCTGTCCTGGGCTAAGTGAATAGAAAAAGTTGCATGTCAGAGTGAGGCTTAGTTATCTTGTGTATGCGTTTGACTCTTGTAACCAGGATGAATAGCCTGTCCCCAGATCCACTAGTGATGTGCTAGCGCCCAAGCTCTAAAACAATCCTCATCCGCTTTTTCCTTTAAGAAACGGCAGAACTATCCTCAGGCAGCAAACCAGAGCATATGACGTGATTTCCTCAATCTTATCTTGCTTTCTGAGTTCTATATTAAGCATTGCCCTTTTTTTTTTGTTTTAGAATAATTTACTTCAGAAAGGCAAGGAGAAAGCAAATTAGGAAGGGAGACAAGTAGACAAGTTAGAGTTGCAAGGCTGAGGAACAAGGTACTTAAAATCTGAATGAAGGTATTTTGAGAGCAGTATTTAATGTGCTAAAGGTTATAAGAATTCTTTTACAAAGAAGTTAGAATTTTAATCTACTAATTACAAGTTTTAAAATGAAGCTATAACATTATCTCCCTGACAGGCAGGTTTTGTTCTTTGTTTTGTGGAAGTTACAGCCAGCCAGTGATTTTTTTTTCCCCTCTGGGCCTGATGAGGAATTGGGGAGCCCTCAGCTCTGTGAGGGGCAGTGAGCTGATCTTGAACTGCATGATCTTTTATCTGTGTCAGCAGTTTGGGAAAGTAGCCCTTTAGGAAGGTAGCTGCTAAATATCACCCATGTTTTATCGGGGTTGGTTGGGACTCTTGAAATGGCATCAGCATTTGTATGTTCTGATTCTTTGACCGGAGGTGGCACAGCATTCGTGGCCTTTCCACCCAGATCAGTGGTAGCCTCTGGGGCTGGCAGGGAATGCAGCCCCAGCTTCTAGAAGATGATTGTCATTTCATGCGACACAGCATGCCACTAGGAGTTTTTCATTCCAGGTCTTTGGACTTCATGACATTGGAATTGTTTTGTCATAATTTCTAACATTCCATAAATATTTGTCAAGGACAAAGAAAAGGAATGTGGATCTTTATTCTTTTCGTATAAATAACTTTGTACACATGACTTCCTGCTTTCGTATGAAGGGGAAGAAATTCGCTCCTCCCTTGTGTGGTAACTCCAGAATTAAACGATTGTGCATGTAGAGGGGTTGAGTATATTTTGTAAAACTCTAATTTGTATTTCTGTGCTGTTCTAAAGTTTACCTTTTTACTTATATTAATTAAAGATACAGAAACTATATATTTAAATCATGTAAATGGGATACAGTTTGGGGGGTTTTTTCCAGTCTTCTTTTTCATCAGCTTCTCACACACACATAGTATGCTGCTCAAATTTTTTTGTGTGCAATATAAACATTTGAACATTTCAGTCAGGTACTGAGCCAGAAAAGGTAATTGAAGTTTTTTAGAAAGCTTCTGTGCTAGAAAATCTTTGTTTTCTTGAAATATTAATAATTTATAGCTGGAAAAATGGGATCAAGACTTAATGTGTTTCAGGCCACTTGGTCATTGGTTCCTAAACTTAGGAAGCATTTGATAACAAGTTGGTGAATGCATTTAGTGGTCACAAAAATAGTTTAAACATTTGAGATTAAAGGCTTCCCACAAACCCTCTCTAAGAAAGTTTAGCTAAGAGATCTTAGAAAGTTTTCTGAGGAGGTTTAGCTATGGCACATGTTTTGATCAGAAAGATAGTTCCTCTTTGCTCCAGTAGTTTTATAATTCGTACTAGTTCTTTGGTTTCTGTTGTCATTTGTTAAAAAAAAAAAAAAGTGTTAAGATTATAAATCACGTCTAATCATAGTGAATTGTAAAACTTCTGTATCTTTATTTTAAGGAAAAATAAGAATAAAAGTGTCCTGTTTGTCCTGCATACAGTCGTACTGTCTTTCTGGAAGTACACTTGATGTTGTCCGTGCGGTCTCTGGCCCGCTTCATGGTTGGACAGCAGTGCCAGCTTCATGTAAGAAACCACACAGACGGAACCGGAGGACTCGTTGCTCATTTAACCTCTCATTTTGATATTGCATATGGTGGTGCCTCTGTTTTTAAGGTGATGACCCCTGCAGGAAGAACCCCTTAGTTTCTCTGGAATGCTAAGTGCACAAAGTACAACCAAACAGAGATTGGTCGTGAGATAATACCTCATCACATGCTCACTGACAGAAACCCCCAGGGGAATAGAACATTGTCTCGAGCAGCCTATTTTCCCACCTGGACTGGTAAGCTTCAAAATAGCCCTTGGCATTTCTCCTGAGGGCTCCTGGCATATTTTCATATTTATTTCCATGTCCTGTGATTTTCTTACAGCTGTTCTACAAGAGAGGAGCTTGGTGATGCGCTTCAGAGAAGCAGACAAGTTTCTTTACCCCGGGGGAGGGTGCACTTCCTTGAGTGCGGGGTTAAGTTTAAGGTCCCAGTGTTCTCTGACATGGACCATTAGCACCCCCGAATTGATGAGGTATTTGGGGACAGTGGAGCCAGGCACCGCCGGTATCTCCCCTTTTCCAAGGACCTCTGCCACCTGGGCGTCAGGCTCTGCCATGGTGAGGTGGACGGTGCCCCCTCACTTCTGAGGTCACAGCTGCCTGTTCTTTACTCCCATAGGATGGGAGTGGCAATTATTCAATCTGGTAACATCTAGAAGGACTATGATTGTGGAACCAGTTTTTTTCCCAAGGATCAACCCTTCCTGAAGGGCTTCTCTGCCTGGGCTTCATCTCCACAGGATTGGGGGGCCGCACGTGAACACACTTTGTGTGATCCTGGAGTTCGAAGCCAGGGAACAGCCGGGGGCAGGAGATCAGAATGGTTATGCTCTTTGCTCTTCCTGTGAACACCTGTGTTTGGAACTGCTGACCTCCCAACACAATACCAGAACCAAGATTCAGATCATTTAAATGTATGTGTTTGATCTTTCACTGGACCCGGCCACACTCCCGGAGCACATAGATGTGGACTGGAACTGTGGGAAAATGATGAAAGCCACATGATGAAATACTGATCATTGTTGAAGCCAGGTGATGAGTATGTTGGGGTTAGTTAGATCACTCACTCTGGTTTGGGTTATGACCACCGTCCTTTACTTTTCCTGCTTCTTCCTGCGCAGGCACTTCTCTTCAGTAGCTGTAGGAAATTTAAAGACTTAGGTCAGGCCCTCAGCATCAAATCGGTGTCTGTTAGTCCTGCTCTGACCTTCCGTGATTCAGCCACTTGTCCTTGTAAAGCAGAATCTATCTTGAGTTCCTCTTTGTACCCCTAGAGTTAGCTTTAGAATGGAAAAGAACAGAAAAGCAGTTTTTGGAAAAGTCAGTTACTCAGTCACTAAGTTCTCACTGTTATTCCTGAGTCACATGTCTCAGTCCCATCTCTTTCTAACTCTACTTCCACATTCCCAGTGGGTTGGGTCTGACCCTTAAATGGTTTCCCTGTTTTCAGTCCTACCTCCATACCCAGAGATATCTTCCTAAAACATGATAGTATTTTTAATTGTTACATGGTAACCCTCACTGTCTCCTTACTGTCTACAGATTCCTAAGTGAGGCACGCAGAGTCCAGCACACGGTAACCCATGCCCTGGTTAGATTCTCCACTGCCGCCCTAGTCTCTGCAAGCCCGCTGGCCAATGGAAACCTTTGCTGTGTATCCCTTTCCCACCTCCTAATTGTTAGAGAAGCATTATTGAGAGAACCCACAATTGAAGGCCCAGCTCTAGCCTCTCTTCCTTCTTAAAGTCTCCCCCGGGGCTACTTTGAATCCTTTCTGAAACACTCGGACTCAGCATTTATTGAGCACTACATAAAGAGGTGCTTCCCCGGGGCACCTGGGTGGCTCAGTCGTTAAGCGTCTGCTGTCAGCTCAGGTCATGAACCCGGGGTCCTGGGATCGAGCCCCGCATCGGGCTCCCTGCTTGGCGGGAAACCTGCTTCTCCCTCTCCCACTCCTCCTGCTTGTGTTCCTGCTCTCACTATCTCTCTCTGTCAAATACATAAATAAAATATTAAAAAAAAAAAAAGGTGCTTCCAAGGCTTGGAGATTGGCAATTAGTAAAACACCTTTTAAAAAGGAGATGGGCAACTTAAGTGAAATACACATACAGAAAAGAGTAAGGAACATACATTAAAATAAATCTAAAGCGACCATTCATGTAACCACGACCCACGTAAGAAACAGTGTATTAACAGCACCTAAAAGACCCCACCCCCCATGTCTCCTCGGTGATAATTCCTCCTCCAGAAGTATTTTGTACTCTCACTTTTAAGACAACTTTTTTATAATTTTACCTCCTTCCTCCTATGTATGTATTCCAAACAGCAAAGTCTATTTTTGTCTGTTTTTGAACTTGTATAAATAGAATCAACCCTTTGAGTTAGGTCTTTTTCTGTTTAATTTTGGTTTTTAGATTTTTCTCTTTTCATTGTTCGATAACACTGTGCCATTGTGTGGCCGTCCCACAGTTCATCCAGGTGGCTACTGGTGGGCTTGGTTCCAAGTTTCCTGTTTGGGGCTGACGCGAACAGCGGCGCTGCTCTGACCATCCTGGTTTGCGTGTCCCAGAGCACCTGCACGTGTTTCTCCAGGGTATACACGCGGGAGTGAAACTGCTGGGTATTTTTTCACATTGTCTCCAATGCTTTGGTATCATAAGGAATTTAAAATTTTGCCGATCTGATGGGTGTGAAATGATATCTCATTGTGGGTTTTAATTTGCATTTTCCTGAGTACTAATAAGGTTGACTACTTTTTCATTTATTTATTAACCATATAGATTTCTACGTTTGTTAAGTGCCTGTTCAAGTCTTTTACCCATTTGTCTATTAGGTTGTCAGTTTCTTATTTGCTTGAGTGTTCTGTGATTTTTTTATATTTATATATATGTATGTATTCTGGATACTATTTCTTTGTCAGTTACGTGTGTTACAAATATCTCGTTCTGTGTCTTCATTCTTTATGATATGTTTTGATGACTAGAATTCTTAATGTAGTTAAATCTCTTCTTATGATTAGAGGAAATTGTACCTTCTTGTATCTTATTTAAGAAACCCTACTCTACCTCAAGGTCATGATATTTTCTATAATCCTCTAGAAACTTTTAAATTTTGCCTTTCATATTTATTCACCTGGACACTTGGAATTTCTTTTTTTAGAGTGAGCTAGAGTAGAGGTCCAATCCCTCCCACCACCCCGACTTCCCAGTGTGGCTAGAAGGTTTTGGCACTTCTTCTTTTGCCAAGTAAGGACTATATAAAACTACTTTATCTTATCATTATCACTCCATACAAAGACATTTTAATGCCAAAACATGGGAAGAGCATAGGGTCAGAGTAAAGGAGAATCCTTTAAGTCAAATATTAACTGTTGGAGGTGAACTAATTTAATTTTTCTTCATTTTTCTCATTTTATTACAGGTTCTGTGCACCAGTTCATGGAGATGGATGAAGAAACTATTTATTTCCTCCGAAGGGCTGACATTCCCCAAGTCGAACAATCACATAGAGGTCCATTGTTTTCCAGAACTGTCCTGGGCAGCTACAGATCCTAAGGATCTGCATCCTAAACACTGCATCAGAGGCACACTGGCCTCCAGAGACCCAAGATTTGCACATCTTTGGCTACCTGCACTGGGAAGCCACTCTTAAGACGAACCCAAGTCCCTCATACTCATACTGCATTTTAAACCCTGCCTTCTCCCTATCCAGTGTTTGAGTGCCTACTATGCATGCACATAGCACATGCCACACACGTGGTTCCTAGCCCTCCTGGAGCTTGCCGTTCATCAGGGCAGGTGAGCAGTTACCACAGGGGACGAAGAGGGCCAGGTCAGAGGTGAGCCAGGGTGTGTTCCAGCACATCATGGTGGCCGGCTGCTGTCCGACAGGGACAAGTAGAAGTCTCCTCCCCAGGAGCCTAAGTTGAGACCTGAAGGCCATGTGATAGTTACGGGGGTGAGGGAAGGGGTTGTAAGCCTTAGAGGGCTCTGGTGTGCAGAAGACAGCATAGGCAGACATGGAAGCAGTGAATGTTCTTTGGTGTGCCTGGGACCTAAATGGCCAGGTCAGGATGGGGAGAACTTTGTGAGCCAGGAGAAGGGGTATAGGCTTGTTCTAGAAGGCAGGGGAAAAACCTGGAAGGGCTTCCTTGCAGGCCAGAGGCAGGTTGGGTGGTGCATTTTAGAACCTTGGTTGAGGAGGAGGTACCACTGCCGTCCCACTGCCCTTAGCCATAAATTCAGTGATGTTTCTCTGAACCAACAGCACCCTTTCCTTTCCCTTCCCCAGTAGCCAGTCTCACAGCTTTCTGCTGACTTCAAATCACATGTGCCCCAAACAACAGGCCCAAGAAGAAAACCCTTGTGATGCTGTCCTCCATCAAAAAGCAGTCACTGTGAGAACATGCGTTTTTCCTTGATTTAGCCGGTGGGGCTTGTTAGTGAAAAGCAAATCTGAGTGATTTCGGGGAGTGCAGGGGACACTTCAGCATCTAACTTACTCTTCTTGGCCAAGTGGGGACCCAGGAGACATGCCTCACCAGCTCTTTGTGGATAGGTTTAAACGTGGATAAAACTCACTTTTCCTCTACACAGTTTACAAGCAGGAAGGGAGTGCTTTGTATATTCAAAAAGTCCATCTGCAGTCACCATCTGGATTTTCATTCATATTTGCTCCAATCCATAGAATTTTTTTTCTCATCAGCTTTCCCAGATGAACCACGTGCTTTGCTCTGGGGGATGATTGGGTCAAAGTAAGATAGCAGAGAACTTGAAAAGTAGCCTTTCCACCTGCTCCTCCTGGCTATGCCCTAGAAGATGGTTCCTCAGCAGCACTTACTAGAAACCACTGAGACCAAAGTTAAACCACACCATCTTCGGCTGCAGTGATCCTGAGCTGGCCCTCTGTGCAAGGTCATCCACGAGACACTGGTGCCCCCTCTGTGGCCTCAGTAGATCATTCACTCCCACTAAATGCCTTTGAAGTGCAAATTCCCAGGTAAAGTTTTAACAGATAAAGATGAATGAGTATTTCTTTGTGTCACCCACTTTATAGTTATTTAAAGTCACAGGGGCAGCAGGACTAGAATTTTTAAATCTTACATGTTTTCCCACCTTTGAAGTATGTTTTTCCATTAGTGACAGCTCCATTTTAAGACTCAAAGTTTAAAACATTTTTATTCTGAGTGCCATTAATTCCACTCCCTTGAGCAACCAAAAGTTGGTGAGACTACAGGACTAAGGAAAAGAGAGTGAAGAGGAGGAAATCCCCTAAGTGGCAGATAAAGGAAGGAAAAAAAGTACAGTTGAGCCCTGAACAAAGTAGGGATTAGGGGCACTTACCTCCCCCCCCATGCAGTCAAAAATTTGTGTGTAACTTTTAACTCCCCCAAAACTTTACTTATAGCCTACTGTTGACCACTAGCCTTACCGATAATGTAAACAGTCGATCAATGTATGTTTTGTAAGTTATATATATTGTGTACGTAGAATAAAGTAAGCTAGGGAAAAGAAAATGTTATTAAGAAAATCATAAGGAAGAGAAAATACATTACAGTTCGTTACTATATCAAAAAACTCCCATGTATAAGTAGACCCACACAATTCAAACTCATGTTGTTCAAGGGTCAACTTACTCTCCGGTGGGAAACTGTTCAAAGTCTCAGTTGAATGATGAGTAAGGCCGCTCTGACTGGTCACCTTCCTGCAGCACTTGTCTATTTCTTCCTTCCTTTGTGAGGTGTGCCAGGCTCCCACACTCCAGAAGAGTTCTTTTCTGAGTGTGTTTGAACGTTAAGCTAACACTTGTTTCATTTGCTTTGAAAGAAATGCCCTTTTAAGCCTGGGCGGCTCAGTCCGTTAAGTGTCCGCCCCTTGATCTCAGGGTTGTGAGTTCAAGCCCCGCACTGGGCTCCACGCTGGGTGTGGAGTCTACTTTAAAAAAAAAAAAAAAACAACCCATCTAAGAAACAGAATCAGTCATTAAAGCTGGAGTGAACATTTTTATGGCCCTGTACCTTAGTTAAGAGAGCATCTAACTCATTTTGAATGGACTTAATCTTATCCTAAAGCTGGTCAACATTCGATTCCTAAGGGTTTATATCAAAGAAATAATCCACAAGGGGGGGGGGGAAAGCATGTGTATGGAGTTCTGTGTCTTTATAACAAATAACGAAAACTTGAGAACAACAAACAGGACTGCCGTGATACTGAAGTGCAGGACTAGTAACTCTGATGCTCACTGTTACGTTAGATAGCTCTTAGTCACTGAAAAGTGGGGTAATGCGGAGAAGAGGAAAATACAGAGAAAAAAACAGAAACGTATCCAAAGACAGGTGGTTCATGGGGGCGGGGGGCGGGGGTACGAAGCCGACTTGCTTCCCTCTGCATTTCTTCTTCTTCCTTTGTGTGTCTTCTCTCAGTTTCTCCCACTCCGGTGTGAGAAGTTGGCTACTGTATTGGAGGGAGGGGACAATCCAAGCACAAATGGAGGTCGAGAAGACACTGCCTGTGAGTAGAAGCCTCTTGCGCCCTGAACACGTCTCCGTCGCCATTCCTACTGTTCTGGGGCTAACGATCTAGTGGTAGAATGGACAGTGAGGGTGGGAGTCCTCGCACGTAGTAGGCACTAGATGACTACTGTAACATGAACAAGACCCTCCTTCCCGGTGCCAGGCTCTGTGGTTACAGCTTACTGAGCACAGTGTAACTGATGCACTGAAAGAGCAAAAGGAACTAAGGAAGCAAAATAAAGCAGTGCTTTCAACTATTTCTATTTTACAAAGTGCTTGTGAAACTGTAAAGGGTATTTAGTACCACAGAAAGTAGGCCAAGGGTAAGAAAAACTCTCCATACCCAAGAGAATTCAGCTGACCAAATTAAGTCTGATCCAGAATAAACAGTTCTCATCTGGAAATCTAGCAGTTCCAGAAAGTACCGTCCAAGTAGGAAAAGGCCCACGATTCTGGTCTGTGTAATTATGTAACCCTTGAGGAGGTGGGAAGCAGGGCCAACGTGCTGGGGGACACGGGGAGAATTCTCGAGCCTCAGAGAAGAGGACTGTGCTGCTGAGAAGCCAGGCTCACATGCCCTTTCTCATGAACTTGACCAACCTCGGCCATTTTTCCCCCTGCTTACCCAGTGTCCAAAACCTACAACAGGATTTCTATTGTCGAATGCCTACGACAGAAATAACTTTCAAACAGTCATGTGAATAACACTGCACGTGAAGAGTTCACTTGAAACGAAACCGAAGCTCAGCTTCAGTGGTCAAGACCATCCGTGTTGGTGTTTTATCAGGAAAAGCCTTATCACTGCCCCTTTAAAGATCACTTAAAAACATCAAACAGACTAAATCCCAGATGGTAAGAGGAATTTAAAATATAACCTTCTTTCTCTAACAATTTGTAAAAATCCAGGCTTAAAATTGAAAGCGGGGATTCCAAGAGGTCTGCATACACCGTGTTTACGGCAGCATTTTCCATGATAGCCTAGGGGTAGAAGCAAGCAGTGTCCGGCCACCGACGAATGGAGGAACACCATGTGCGATGTACACACAATGGAGTATTATTCAGCCTTTAAAAGGAAGGAAATTCTGGCATGTCTGCTACATGGATGAACCTCGGAGACATGATGCTAAGTAGAATAAGCCAGTCACAAAAGGACAAATACTGTGTGATTCCGCTTGTGTAACATACCTAGAGTAGTCACAGTCCTAGAGACAGAAAGCAGAAGGGTGCCTGCCAGAGGCTGTGGGGCAGGGGCAGCGGGGAGTTACTGTTGCCTGGGTACAGAGATGCAGTTCTGCAAGATAAAAAGTTCTGGAGATGGGTGGTGCTGATGGTTACACAACGTTGTGAATGTGCAAAAAAACTTTTTTTTAATGCCCTTAGAAAGACCATGGAACCACTGGAAGAGACACTTGGGATCTTCCGAGTTCAGTTCTCTTATCATTTACCTTTTACTATGGCAGATTTCAAATACATAAGTAGTCAGAAGAGTTTAATAAACCTCCTTTTGCAATATGCCAATCTAAATTCATCTTTACCCTCACTTGTTCCCTCCATCCCATAGAATTATTTTTAAAACTTTATATTTGGAAGTAATTTCAAGGATACAGGTAAGTAACAAAAATGAAACAGTAAGGCAAAACCGAACACCTACTACCCTTTACTCAGATTCATCTGTTACTAACATCTTATTTCATTTGCTTTTTTATTAATATGTTCTTTCTCACCTTCTCTCACATACACACATGCGTCTCTCCCAAACACATTTTTTCCACCTACTGGGGGTAAGTTACATATATCCTGGCCCTTTACCTTGAACTACTTCATTGTGTTTTTCCTTAAAATAAGGATAGTCTCTTATATACCATTGAGTACAGTTACCAGTTTAAATTTAACACTGACTCAATTTTATCTCTACACCATTTGTGTCCCAGTTTCTTTTTTTAAGATTTTCTATTTATTTATTTATTTTTAAGATTTTATTTATTTGAGAGAGAGAGAATGAGAGAGAGAGAGCACAAGAGGGAAGAGGGTCAGAGGGAGAAGCAGACTCCCTGCTGAGCAGGGAGCCCAATGCGGGACTTGATCCTGGGACTCCAGGATCATGACCTGAGCCGAAGGCAGTCGCCCAACCAACTGAGCTACCCAGGCGCCCAAAGATTTTTTATTTATTCATGAGAGAGAGGCAGAGGGAGAAGCAGGCTCCCTGTGGAGCAGGGAGCCCGATGTGGGGCTCCATCCCAGGATGCTGGGATCATGACCTGAGCCGAAGGCAGATGCTTAACTGCCTGAGCCCCCAGGAGCCCCTGTATCCCAGTTTTGTCCGTTGTGTTCTTTATAGCATTGCTTTCCCCTCCAGTAGAGGATCCAGGTCAGGGCCAGGTATTATATTCAGTTGTCAGCCTCCATTTCCAGAGCCTTTCTCTTTTATGACACTGATATTTTGGAAATATAAATCCCTCTTCCTTTTTTTAATAAGATGGTCCTCATTGGGGTGTTTGCCTACCATTTTCTTATGATTAGATTCAAAATAGGCATTCTTGCCCAGAGCACTGCCTAGATGATGTGTCCCTCTCGGGGTTTTACATGTGGAGGCATGTGTCTATCTGCCCCTTTTGGTGATGTTGATCTTGATCACTGGTCAGGGGTGTTGCCCAGTTGCATCACCATGCAGTTACTGCTCTGCCTCCTCTCCCCCCCCACCCCCGGCAAATAATCTCTGGAGATGCTTTAAGATCATGCAACTAATCTGCTTATCAAAATTTCCCTTAGATTCAGCATCTGTATTTACTTCCTATTGCTGCATAATACATATGTCAAAACGGACTTGTTTAAAACAAATATTTGTGATCTCAGACAGTGTCTGTGGGTCAGGAAATTGGCTTGGTTGGATGGTTCTGCCTCAGGATCTCTGGTGAGATTACATTTTGTTGTTGGCCAGAAGTTGCCATCATCTGAAGGCTTGCCTGGGGCTGGAGAATCCATTTCCAAAATGGTTCAATCACATGCCTGGCAACTTAGTGCTGTCACTTCCTTGCCACCCGGACCTCTCCCTAGAGTTACTTCTGTGCCCTCATAGCACGGACTGGCTTCCTCTAAAGCAAGTGATCCCGGAGAGAGCAATGCCTTTTGTGACCTACTCTGGGGGGTCATACACTATCACTTCCGCTACAGTCTAATTAGAAATGACTAAGTCCAACCCACATTTCAAGAAAGAATTAAGCTCCAACTTTAAGTACCAACTTTAGAAGCAAGAATATCAAAGAATTTGTGGACATCACAGCATCCATTGATGAATCTTGCCTGATTCAACTCTTACTCTGACGGCTGCAAAATACTGGTTTTCCAACTACCCTGTATTATTTTTGAAGCAAACCCTGGCATTATATTTAATATGTAAATATTTAAGATGTATCTCTAAAAGATAAATGTTTTAATGTTATAAGCTGGTAACAGTGTTATCAAGCAGCAAATCAGTATTTAAATTTCCATTTG